ACGTAGCTTCATAAAGACTTTATTGTAATTAGCAAGTTTAATTCCATAGTTCTTCACACGTGCTTAACTTAAGGGAAAATTGTGGCAGTTACCACGATCTTTACATGCTTTGTTCCTGTTACCTTACACAGTTTGTATTCAATCATTTTCACATTAATAATGTGTGAATCAAACATTTTTATAATATTTTTTCAATGCCTGAACCGCACCCTATTCTGTTAGGTGTGTTATTGTCCACAATATCACAAACAGTATTGCGTAGGGCAGTATACAGCAGCATCCGTATACACAAATACATGGTTATTTAGTTTAATAATATTATGGTACATAAGTTATGTCCAAGTACATTACTTCACACAATAGTAGTGTGGCTACACAAAGACACATTTCGTTATCGTTTCACATAATACGTGTGTAATAAACGTTATCACCGCCGGCGGGAGTTCATTCACTTTACGTTATGCTTTGAAAGACAGAAGGTATATTTGCAATAATAGTTTTGGTCCTGTCACAAAATACGCAACAATAGATGGATGCATTAAAGGGTTTACGATTTCCAAATACAACTCTATTGATTTGAATCTCAATTTCCAAGTGAGTGTTAACTAGTATTTCCTAATCTCCAATAGTGTCCATACTAGCAGACATAGAGAAAAGAAGTCAATTAAAAAAATATAAATGAATATCAACACCTAGATGAAGATGAAAACCTTTGATCGTTGTCTGGAGTGGTAGTTCTGTAGTCAATGCTTTTGTACTATAATTAGCATGCGTATACTTACATATATTATGTAAGTATACGCATATATTGTTTGCTCATGTAATACTAAATATATTATGTACTAACGTCACCTATTGCCCTATTCATAATGAACATTGACTATCCAGATATAACAATTTTCCCAAGTTTTCTAAGATAATTTCTCTGTTCCTAAAAATTGCAGTAGAGCAGTATAAAAACCACAGAAAATAAGAGAAACAGAAGTTATTTTGCTAACTACAAACCTTCACACAATTTTAGAAAAAAACTAATTCATAAACTAAGCTATGTAAGACCGGACTCACCGGACTTCCAGTATTGATTACCTAAAATTATTATCACTGATTTATGTGAACACTCTTCCGACTTCTAAACATTACTCTTCCGATCGGAATCAGATGTTTTTTGTCTTCCAATCCGGATTGTATTTTTTGTTGAATTCCGTAATTTCCTTCTATTCATACGTAGAACTTATAATTATGAAATAATCATATAAGTACATGAGACATACATACATATTAGATAGCAACGTCAACATGTAAATCGAAAAATTGAAAGGACCGATTCCATCATTTGCCACCATTCCTTATATGGAATTTATAGATACTTTTGTATTGAATGCGAACCAATTCATATAAAGTTATTACCATAAACTTATCCACTGACTAGTTCTTGAATATCAGAAAGCATTACAGTAAATAAATGTCCACTATAAATTTATTGAAAGCCTGTTTCCGTAACTATTTATGATACCCAAGTCCCGCTAAAGCCAATGCAACTACAGTTCAATACTAATACAAGGTAACTTATCAGCTAAGGTTGCATTTACAGGGAACGATTTTAAGTCTGCAATCTGTCTAACGTAACGGCTGATATCAATCGACGACTTTAATTCAAAATTTCTGGACCTATCTCAGATTAACAGAAATTTCATACTACTTATGTCAAAAATCGATCTTGAATCAACATTTCGAATGCACATGAACTCAGATGTCCTACTCTCGGTACTATATCTCACAGTGATCATATTTATAGCTCCGAGTTCACATCACCTGATCCCGAGGTTAATCTATAATAAGTCAGTGATAAATATTCAATTATTTGTTCATTTAGCCTCCGATCCACTGATAGTCGTAATGTTCGGGCTTATCGCCGTGCCAGGGCAAAGCATACCAGCTGTAACTGGTTGGTAACTACAGCTTCGTCCAGATCAATATTTCCACTGTTAATGCGATACTTTAATTTGAAAACACTTGTCTTATTGTCCGTTCATTTACATTCAATCGATTTGTTTGTATGTGTTGTAGTTTGTAATCAATCAGCCGTTATTCCAAAACTGCTATCACGTTTTCAGTATGTTTATGAATGTAGCTCTTTAAAAATATCATAAAGTACAAAGCCTCAATGTTTTGGGCGATCCAAGGAACTCCCTAATTCAGGAAAAATATGATCTTAACTCCAAAAATCCCTTTGTGTCGTTTCGTGCTGTATGTTCGTATCACGCGTAAATTGTTTCAGTTAACTAAGAATTCACTTATAATGTTCTCGTTACCTGAGGCTGATACGTAGGTACAGGTTACACAGGCATTATCTTGATAAATCTGCTGTGATTGTCTGAGTTAACTTTAACGTCCATACGCCACACACCGAGGCCTCCCACGTGCAATAACCATCATATTTTATAACTACTACGAAAAGCTAAACCATGGTATCTAAGCACCAGTCAGCGTTGCTGGCAGAAGCAATACCACGAACCCTTCCCACCGCAGGAGATACAATAATATCAATTTAAAATATCGTCGTAACAATAAAGTTGGAAGTCTGCGGCCACACCTCGCGATTACGGACAGACAGTAAAATGTACGTATCCGTATAAAATCTGCAACTTAAATCATTGCAGCGGACTCGCTCGCCCACTCGGTGCTTCGCCAGTAACGAGTGGTTTCGAGCGGCTTTCTTCGCACGATTTATGGCGCAGTCAGTACGGCAAAATTGTCGGCCGGTGTATTGCCCGCCTAACTAACGAGTACTAGATTATCTTCGTTAATAAATGCGAAAGTTTATGTTTTACTAAGATTCAGTGCATGTGATAAGCTTATGCGGACCAAATGGATTGTGAAATCGAACAGGCTTCCCTTCTGTATTTTACATCTACAAAATCTACATATTCGCTGATTTCATTATTAGATTGACAGTTACTTAAAAATATGATTGAAATTCACATTCCTGTTTAAATACTCAGAAATCTTAATATTAAAAACATTGAGTAAAATCATACAGAAATAAAACTTTCCAGAAAAAAATTAACAATATTTAGAGGCATTCGTTTCATTCATAAAATGTGGCTGGCACCTGTTCGCATCATTCATTGTGTTTTGTAGATCAACGCGTCACAGATAGATTTACGAGTAAGCAGTAATGTACTTAACTTTAGTGCACTTTTAATGACAACAGGTGGTTTGTGCATTTTAGTGGTAACCAGTAACAACGAAATAGTACCTAATTATATTTGACAACAAATAACAATTACCTTCAATGCCCATCTAAACGATGACTTTGACGACTCTTATTATTCAAGAGATGTGTTGTTAAATATTCCTCATGCGCAGTATGAACTATAACCATTAGTCGACGTCACCGTACTGCGCAGTCGAACTACGATCTACGATGATGGGCGTGTAGCTAAAGACAAATATTATGTTTGACCATACCTACACTAAAAATATGATAGAAATACTGGATTACAAAATCATTGTGATATTTTATTAAAAGTAGGTCTCCCATTGTTGGTGGCCAGTGGCTTCAAGGAAGACGGTAGCACAGTGGCCACGTGCCATCGTCAATCGTGCACAGCGATGTTCAAGAGAGACATACGTCTGTCTAGGGATGTGCCGTAACAGACGTTGCACCGTGGGGTCTCTCGTAGAGGACCCAATGCCCCTTATAAGTGCTGAGGGTGGCCACCGGGGGGGGGGGTGATATTAATAAACCTATCGAGGAATTACTATAAATTCCATAGTACCAGGTGGATTGGTACGTCAACTGGAGTATGTTTGCTGTGCGTTTACATAATATTATGTTAATAGAATGGTCAACTATTAGATTGCCGTTATTATAATAGCTTGTTTTAACACTGCTTCGGTAGTATGGTATTTAAAAGATGTGACACAATGTGATGAACTTAAAATGGATTACCATCAAGTACTTTTAATTCTATCAGAGGTGGCCATTGGGCGACTGATCTTTCCTAAGATGTGCAAGTCACCAAGAAGTTATGTTTCATTCAATTACCATGCACATCTGCTTACGTCTCTTAGCAGAATCCGATTGGTTTGGAAAGTGTAATGTGAATACTAATGAAAACAATAAATCATTTAGTTAATTAACCAATTTATCGCCAGTTATATCTCTTTAACTATCCGTGACCAATGCAGACTACGGGTTTATTATAGCCGTCCATAACTGAACAAAAACAATAATTTAGTGTTAGTGCGCACGCAAATAGCACAGTTGTCATAATTAATAAATAAATATAGGCTATTCATAACCACGAGATAGCGACTTGTATACAATTGCAGTACTGGGGTGACTGACCGATAACGAGCTAATTGCACATTCTTGATAGACGTGGCGACGGACGCGATGCCGACGCTGAGCGATTAATCGCACTCATTTGTTAAATGTACCTAGACCAGTTCAAACTACAAGCTGTACTTAGTCATGTTCGTTGGTTGAACTGCGTGAGATTGATTCATCATTCAATTACAAATAAGCACAAGTGTAGGTAACTCGAAACGAGCAAGCAAACTATTCACATGTAAAAATGTATCCAATCCAAACAATACGTATAAAGATAAAATATAAACATGGGATAAATTAATCGTCACTTTCTAATTACCAAAATGGAAATTTCCAATATGACGATAATAATTTTCCGATATTTCGCAGGCATTTGATAATAAATTCGGTTGTTCTCCACGTCATCATTGGCCCAATCTGCTGTTAAGAGCCTCAATTGAATGATTGGCCGTCTATTCTGTGGCTGCAGGAAGTCCGAATATGTTTGCTCGACAATTTACCTCTATTACAGTAACAGATGTTGGCGAATTGGCCTATACACTTGTGAAAACTGGATTCGATTACGACGACAAAGCGTTAAAAATTCAAATCACATTACATTAGAAACTTACAGTTTAAAAACCAGAAAACAAAATAATTTAGTGTTTTTCTTGATTTCCAGGTGGAACAACGCGATGTCCCCGGCATCGATTGCGCTAACCTCGCCATGGACACGGAGGAGGGTGTCGAAGTTGTGTGGAATGAGGTTCAGTTCTCCGAGCGCAAGAACTTCAAGGCGCAGGAGGACAAAATACAGGCGGTGTTCGACAACCTCACCAGGCTAGAACATCCCAATATCGTCAAATTCCACCGATACTGGACAGACACACACAACGACAAACCTAGGGTAAGATAACTGCTCTGTCATGTGTGGAACTAGGAAACATTGTGGAAATTGGTGTAATTCTTCTAAATATTTGCATACACTACAATACATCTGTACTACCTACCTAGTACTAGTACAGAAAATTTCTTAATTCTAGTACTGCTACAGAAAAATTCTTAATTAATCTAGTGCAATAACCTGAGTGGCTACTACAACAGATACTTCTTTTATTCGCAATATTAGTGTGTGCTATTCCTTCTGAGTAACCATTGATAATGAGGCATGATTATTGACACATTCTACATGTATAACTTTGCGTGTTCCAGGTAATATTCATAACGGAGTACATGTCCTGTGGCTCCTTGAAGCAGTTCTTGAAGCGCACCAAGCGGAACGTGAAGCGACTACCGCTGCAAGCCTGGAAGAGATGGTGCACGCAGATACTGTCTGCACTCAGGTAACACAAATCATTGAAACACATTGCACAAGTTATGTGAATATAGGAATCTCTTTCCTGAACGAAACTTTAAAAACTTCATTTAAATTCGAGCTCTAATCTAGTACCCCACGACTCGTCACTCACGTGGATACGTTCACGTTTCAGTTACCTACACGGCTGCGTGCCTCCCATCGTGCACGGGAACCTCACGTGCGACACAATTTTCATCCAACACAACGGGCTGGTGAAGATCGGCTCGGTCGCTCCCGACGCCATCCATCATCACGTCAAGACCTGCCGTGAAAACATGAGGAACATGCACTTTATTGCACCGGAATACGGATGTAAGTACCATTAACTGTCAGTTAATTCTGAAGAAAGGACCGCACAGTTTCGACTCTTTCGATTTCTCGGACTGCCTTTTCCTAGTTTACAATTACAAGTAAGTACATGCATTTTAAAACAGGCCAAGGCTGCGAACTACTTTACATAGTGCACAGAAACTGGATTTCCTACGTCCATAATTGTATACAACATTTGTGCACGAGGTTTCCAGTGGAAAAGATGACTTTGTGAGTGAGTTCATTGTTTTCCCAACAAAAACCATAAAAAAAGCTGTTACTTTTCCGTGCTCACATGTTGTCCATATGTCAAGTTAATGTGTATTATGTACTGTGTTCGTGTCCCAGAATCCAAGCAATCGAAACTATGTTGTCCATTTTTCTGCATTCATGACATCTTTATTTCCCCCGTATCAGCATCACAAATGGTGACGCCTGCGATGGATATCTACTCATTCGGAATGTGCGCATTGGAGACAGCGGCACTTGAGATTCAGGGCAATGGCGACTCTGGCAGCCACGTCACGGAGGAACACATCGTACGGACGGTCGAGTCCTTGGAGGAGCCGCGCCAGAAGGACTTTATATACAGGTACTGGTCTTACAGGTTGGCGATCCGGTAAGTCGCTTACATTGTATGGGTGCACGATGGGCTGCTCACGTGTCACAGGTAATTAATACAGGGAGGTCCCGTAGTGTTTGTAGCGATGCGTTGCTTTGAAGGAGTTGTGAGTACTCAAGGTTTTAAATTAACGCAACCCTACAAACACTGTCCTAATCGTCGCACAAGGGCTGAGTCGTTGAGTCCCCGGTGCGAGCCCGGCCCGACTGTACGGCGCGTGTGTCGCAGGTGTATAAACAAGGACCCGGCCGCGCGGCCCACGGCGCGCGAGCTGCTCTTCCATCCGCTACTGTTCGAGGTACACTCGCTCAAGCTGTTGGCGGCGCATACTCTGGTCAATACTACAGGTGAGATCATTTTTGTACTGTTTGTTTGATTTTAGGAAAACTATGCTTATGAATGAATATAGGTATCAATTGTACCAAGAATTATCGGTACACAAAGTTTTGATCTGATTTAGCAACGGTTTCATTGTCAAATGGAGTGCATATTTAGTGGTAATTCGTATGATCAAAATAATTACAAGGATCCGTGTGTGATGTCGACAGCGAACATATCGGAGACGATCACGGACGAGGTGGCGGGCGGCAGCAGCGGCGAGGCGCTCGCCTGGACCGTCTGCGGCGGCGCGCGCCGCGCCCTGGCCGCGCGGGACCTGCCGCCGCACGCTGAGAAACTAGAGAAGTTCGTCGAGGACGTCAAGTCAGTACTGCACTCGCCACCAATAGCGCACTCGTCATTTGTGTCGGGAGCAGGAGTTTAAGGAAGTCGTGCGTGCAGGTACGGCATCTACCCGCTGACGGCGTACGGGCGGCGGCGCGGCGCGGGGCGCGCGGCGTCCCCGGCCGAGCGCCTGGCCGAGTCGCAGCCCGCGTCGCCCGAGCCGCGCGACCTCGAGACACGACGCGTCGTCAACATGATGTGCAGCCTCAAGCCGCACCCACACCCCCACCCCGACACCTCGCCCGCCGACCTGTTGGTGAGTACATACTGTACCCCCACCCCGACACCTCGCCCGCCGACCTGTTGGTGAGTACATACTGTACCCCCACCCCGACACCTCGCCCGCCGACCTGTTGGTGAGTACATACTGTACCCCCACCCCGACACCTCGCCCGCCGACCTGTTGGTGAGTACATACTGTACCCCCACCCCGACACCTCGCCCGCCGACCTGTTGGTGAGTACATACTGTACCCCCACCCCGACACCTCGCCCGCCGACCTGTTGGTGAGTACATACTGTACCCCCACCCCGACACCTCGCCCGCCGACCTGTTGGTGAGTACATACTGTACCCCCACCCCGACACCTCGCCCGCCGACCTGTTGGTGAGTACATACTGTACCCCCACCCCGACACCTCGCCCGCCGACCTGTTGGTGAGTACATACTGTACCCCCACCCCGACACCTCGCCCGCCGACCTGTTGGTGAGTACATACTGTACCCCCACCCCGACACCTCGCCCGCCGACCTGTTGGTGAGTACATACTGTACCCCCACCCCGACACCTCGCCCGCCGACCTGTTGGTGAGTACATACTGTACCCCCACCCCGACACCTCGCCCGCCGACCTGTTGGTGAGTACATACTGTACCCCCACCCCGACACCTCGCCCGCCGACCTGTTGGTGAGTACATACTGTACCCCCACCCCGACACCTCGCCCGCCGACCTGTTGGTGAGTACATACTGTACCCCCACCCCGACACCTCGCCCGCCGACCTGTTGGTGAGTACATACTGTACCCCCACCCCGACACCTCGCCCGCCGACCTGTTGGTGAGTACATACTGTACCCCCACCCCGACACCTCGCCCGCCGACCTGTTGGTGAGTACATACTGTACCCCCACCCCGACACCTCGCCCGCCGACCTGTTGGTGAGTACATACTGTACCCCCACCCCGACACCTCGCCCGCCGACCTGTTGGTGAGTACATACTGTACCCCCACCCCGACACCTCGCCCGCCGACCTGTTGGTGAGTACATACTGTACCCCCACCCCGACACCTCGCCCGCCGACCTGTTGGTGAGTACATACTGTACCCCCACCCCGACACCTCGCCCGCCGACCTGTTGGTGAGTACATACTGTACCCCCACCCCGACACCTCGCCCGCCGACCTGTTGGTGAGTACATACTGTACCCCCACCCCGACACCTCGCCCGCCGACCTGTTGGTGAGTACATACTGTACCCCCACCCCGACACCTCGCCCGCCGACCTGTTAGTGAGTACATACTGTACCCCCACCCCGACACCTCGCCCGCCGACCTGTTAGTGAGTACATACTGTACCCCCACCCCGACACCTCGCCCGCCGACCTGTTAGTGAGTACATACTGTACCCCCACCCCGACACCTCGCCCGCTGACCTGTTAGTGAGTACATACTGTACCCCCACCCAGACACCTCGCCCGCCGATCTCTTGGTGAGTACATACTGTACCAGTGTACCCCCACCCTGACACCTCGCCCGCCGACCTGTACATACTGTACCCGCATCACTTTAAACGTCATATAACGTGCATTCTTGAAAATAAACCTCATTTTGCTGTCTTCAGTGCGGTTTGATATCGTTTGCTCATCCATTAGGTGTTTATGCGTACCACTTGTCTTGTGCACCATTTCCGATATTATGACATTAAATTGTGACTCCACCTAATCGAACAAAATTAGTATCGATTCCGATTTAGAAGCAATTTATTCAGTAAAATAGTTTCGCGTGTAACGTGTGAACGTTATCCCGTGATGCAGTAATTTGTTTGCGTACGTTCCTTCCAGATGACGATCCTCCTGCGCATGGACGACAAGATGAACCGCCAGCTGACGTGCGCCGTGTCCCGCCGCGACACCGCCGCCGCGCTCGCGCACGAACTCGTGCAGCTCGGGTTCATACACGAGGTACGACCGCGCGGACCGAGGCATCTCGTGGCCGCCAGAGTGCCTGTGTACGATGTAGAATGTGTTTCAGGCGGACCGCGACAAGTTGTGTCCGCCAGAGTGCCTGTGTACGATGTAGAATGTGTTTCAGGCAGACCGCGACTAGTTGTGTCCGCCAGAGTGCCTGTGTACGATGTAGAATGTGTTTCAGGCGGACCGCGACAAGTTGTGTCCGCCAGAGTGCCTGTGTACGATGTAGAATGTGTTTCAGGCGGACCGCGACTAGTTGTGTCCGCCAGAGTGCCTGTGTACGATGTAGAATGTGTTTCAGGCGGACCGCGACTAGTTGTGTCCGCCAGAGTGCCTGTGTACGATGTAGAATGTGTTTCAGGCGGACCGCGACTAGTTGTGTCCGCCAGAGTGCCTGTGTACGATGTAGAATGTGTTTCAGGCGGACCGCGACTAGTTGTGTCCGCCAGAGTGCCTGTGTACGATGTAGAATGTGTTTCAGGCGGACCGCGACTAGTTGTGTCCGCCAGAGTGCCTGTGTACGATGTAGAATGTGTTTCAGGCGGACCGCGACTAGTTGTGTCCGCCAGAGTGCCTGTGTACGATGTAGAATGTGTTTCAGGCGGACCGCGACTAGTTGTGTCCGCCAGAGTGCCTGTGTACGATGTAGAATGTGTTTCAGGCGGACCGCGACAAGTTGTGCCGGTTGATGGAGGAGTCCCTGCGCGGTAGTTTCGGTCACCCGGCGCGCGCCCAGCTGGCCAGCTAGTGCAGTACTGCGCCGTACGTATGTCCATACTTCCGGAGCACTTAGCTTTATCGATATTTAAACAAGGTTTTTAGTCAACTAGTTGCGGAACCGGACTTGAACTGAACGTCGGCGTCGCGGGACGTCAGGGCCGAGCCCGCGGCCGCAGTAGTCTTTAGATTAGAGTTAACGCATATTTATACGTAGAAATGATGGGTCTTATGAGATTTTGTATTGCCGTATCATGTATTTTTACGTAAGTATGATATGGTACCGATTGAATGTATTCCGCGGAATATTTAACGGCTCACACTTAAAGCTTGTTTAAGCGGGGATCGTCAGTTTCGTTTTTAATAGTTATTATTTTTAATGTTTAGATCCTAAGATGTGCAAATGTAACGTAATTTCTACAGTTTTTCAATAAAATAGAACCATTTTTTTATTATTGCTTCCTATAATAGGTTGAGAATCCCCGCATAAACAAGTGTTCATCTTAAATCTTCCACGTTGGTCACAAGTTTACTCAACGACAGTTCCAGAAACAAACGAAATTGAAGCGGAGGTATTTGATCGTGTTAATGTAGCGCAGTGTTACGTACATGGCGTACTTAGTGCGGCAACCAATTACTTGGTTGAAGCACTAGGTGGGTAATGGAACAGTTAGGTACCTTCTACTATTGCATTTCACCTCCCAAAAACTAACTAGTCGAGTGTGAATCTAAATCCGATCAGCCGAATCGTTCATTTAAATAAATTGATGCGCTTTCTTAAAGGAAATTGTAAAAATTCTAAGTTCTCTTTAAGACAAACATGTATGTAAAAATTGTAAAATTATTGAAGATTCGGAACGGTTCATAATTTAGTTCGAACATCGAGTATGCTTTAGTGATGTAGAATTTTGTATGAATGTGTATATGTTATAAATGATATTTAAAAGAAAAAATATTTAAATTAAACGTTTACTTTTAATTATATGTATAGTGAGGCTTCCTCTTAGAGCTTTATGGATGTGGTTATAAATAATAAGTATACGGAAAATTGAACATACTCACTATGAAGATAAGGTTGAAATTTGTACTGTACTCGCGTCGATTATTATTACTTTTTACTACCGAGAGGTGTCATTGGACTTGGTTTGTTGACTACAGTCAAGTAATTTGTTAAGATTTTGTATGAGGCGCTTGTCGTAGGATTGTTTTGTTGAGGACGTCTGTACCCCGACACTGCACGAGCTAGTTCGGTCGTCGTTTACCAAAGTTTGGTGATGAGTTGATATACTTCCCACGAGCGAGGGTTACAGGCGTCCAGGCACACATATTGTATGCGTGGTTAAAGTCAATTGTCCAAACTTGTGATGTTTTAATGTAATTTAATAATTTCTGGGATTTTGTATTGATGTTAAGGAATCTAAAACTACCATTAGATTTATACGAAATAAATTTGCATAATTAGGTACAACATTAAATAAATATTTGTAGTATCCACAGAGTCCGATCGAATTACTTCTTATACGTCAATACAAGAGCCATTGTTGGAATATAATATTTTGCATTTACACACATACATTTTGGTTTTATACGGTGATGTTTCAGTTATTATACGTAAAGCTATAGTGGTGCTAGTATGTATGTACAGCATTGTATAAAATTTGCTATATTGTATTGTCTCGACAAACGGAACTACACAACTTTACACGGTGTATTTTATTACTTTTAGTAATTTCCGTAACTTTACGTTGTTTGGATTTATTGAACATTTTTTATTATATTTCAATTTGTTTATCGCTTCTGATGAATAGTAAGTTGTGTAGTTATGTTTGTGGTATTATTGTGTATATTGTCGTACATAGTATCGCTGCGGCACCGGTTCCTAGTTCGTTATGTTTCGACAGTTTGGTGCTGACACACTATTATTTATTGAAACAAAATTAAGCTTCTGTCCTTTTGAATGCAAGTAACTTACGAATTTTGACGGTTTTTACCTTTAACTTCTAAGAAGCTGGTGACGTGACTGGTCCTAAAATTATCTTAATTCATAAGTTACGTACAAACTAAGGGACACCTAGTTTCACGTTTGTTTGACGCTAGTGGTGCCAAATATATGAGGTGCCAACGATTCGTTTTAATTTCAAACGACAGTTTACTAAACCTTAGTTACTAAACCTTCCAATCCAAAACATAAGTATTCCACAAGTAAATCAGCTTGCCATTGACAATACAACCGCCTCCATTCTCAATCAAATATATCGGTACACTTAGCGAAGGGACTTGGTAGATACAAATGTTCGCGTCGGTACAGTTTCGATCCAATTCAATGTCTCTCGCTTCAACAGTTCTAACTCACTTGGTGGTTTCAGTACCACCTACTACGCCCTTACCAATTCCCTGAGATTTACAAGTCTTTTTGTTTTCTACTATGTTTGTGATATTTGCGATAGTACGATGCGAACAGTCCGTCGGTCCCTGTATCGCGTCGACCGATGTTTGGTTAAGGAACGAACCGCGAGCGTGTGTCGGAGGAAACTGTGTGTCTCATACTTTGTGTAGACAACCGGAAGATCATATTTTTGTAATGTTTCATCTCGTTATAGATCTGAGTAGGGACTAGCTCGGTGACTCGCGACACTAGCGCCGCCAGTAGTGGCCGGGAGGACGCGGGGGGCGTAGAGTAGAGTAGAGTAGTGGAACCGAAAGACTGGCTAATGTAAAGTAGGCGGCGCGCGCGGCTCCGGACGGACTTTGTCATTCCTCGGCACTACATCAAGCGTATCTCTTATTGATAAGATTATAATTTATAAGGGTGCGGGAATTTTCGTATTCGTTACCAAAAATATGTACGCTTACTTAAATATATATATTAGGAAATATAATTAAATTATAAAATATTAGGAAATTATTAAATTGAACAACTCGGTATGTCGGACGCCGCGCGCGAGCCATGTTGGGAGGCAGGTATAATAGCTAGTAAATGGCGTGTTCTTTGTAAATATTCGCTTTTAGTCTAAAACTATACTTATAAATGATTATTGTTGTAACTGTAATTGATTTACGTACGATCTACTTATCTACCTATACATACAAATGCCGCTACATTACTGATTTGCTTGTATTTATGTATCTCGCATTTCTATTTTGGGTTAATATACCATTCGGCTGCTTCGGTTGGACGGCTTCGTGTTCAGAGAACAATCCTACATTTTGTAAAAATATATTCTGTATTCAGATGAAATTAATATTGTGAAGTGATAATTATGATTTAATACAAGTAAATGCTTATAATTCCATTTTAACAAGCAAGACGTCCTCGGCCGAGCAGCTGTACTAACATTTACTAGAAAGCCCATCACAACGTTACCTACTGCTTTTGCAATAATTAACATAACTCCTTACATTATTTATGTTCCTATATGTACCATTTCACTTGGAAGGCGCTACATCTGCATCTCATTACCAGCACATTACCAGTGCAAACTTTTCAGAATGTCTTTATGGTGCTATGTAGTTCCATACTAAACTTAGGCCCCCGGATCACTTAAACATTTTCTCGAAGAGGCTGGATCACCTTACTTTAGCGGTATAAATCTAAAGACGTAGTTGATAAAGCCCATTGTAACTTGTAACTAAAAGCCTAAGTTGTAACGAAAGTTATAGATCTTGTTGTACAAGTTGTCCTGCATTGTGACCGATAGATGGCGCCCATGAGTCGAATGGTACCTTATTTAATTTATACTTCTATTTTAGTTTCACTCACATTTATTTGTTGAACGTTGTATTTACGACAAGTGAACACATTATTTAGTTTGATTAACAATATGTTGTTGTATATAATTACCCGATTAGTGTTCTGGTTTTTCTTTTGTTTATCCAAAGAGAAAAATGTGTTCATCTATGAAAAATATTTTAATTTGCGTTTTATGAGATTGTAACATAATTATTTATTGGATCCAGAATTGCATTTCCCACTCGATTTTATGTTTTCGACTACAGGTGTCATGTCCAAGTAACCGAAGTATGATTTAGCTATAGTACATATTATTATTGTAATGATACCTATTATGATTATGCTCAAAGTGACTTGTAAAGAATCCATAACTAAATATGATCGAACGATCGAGTGATGTTTGCGTACTATTCTACAATAAAGAACGTCAATAAAGTGTATTTTAAAAAAGTATTTTTAGTTTCACTTGTATTCTATCCCTTCTTTACCCCGAGCGTACGACGCGTCGCGTTCCGCGCGCGCCTCAAAGAGTCATCAGACCACCACAGATGGGGCCCAACAGGGCCGATACCGATTCGGAGTCGCGGAGAACCTAACGGGTAACCGGGGCTCCGGCTCGACGTGCAGGAGAAGGAACGGGGTGGTTTTTAGTCAGTAAGAGTCTGACACTCCCTCCCGCCTCACCCAGGCGGGAGCAGTCATTCGATGATTTCCCCCTTAAAAAAAATCCCTTCTTTAATAAAACAATAATATCAGTAAGACTGATATTACAGATGATGTAGATTTTGTCAGTTTACATTATGTAATTAAATAAAAAGTAATGTATTCACTCACCTTTATAACTTAATTCAATAGATTGTGTGATCACATGATTTAATGTTTTTCAGCGCTATCTAGCGAAACTAAACAGAAACTAGGAAGAAATTTATACCGTTGCGCTTTGTTGAGTAATTCAAAAAGGAATTAGTAGGTGTTAAAACACACTTGAATATTAAGTTATTTAGTACGATAAGGATAAATACTATATAGTGGCATTTTAGTTTTAACGATTAATTTGATGAATTGATTCTTTAGATTGACATAACTTTTTTATGTTTGAACCGATTTAACAAAACAAAGACCACATGTTAATCCCAGCAAACCGCAACGTAATAGTGAAAACCATATTCAATTATGTTTAGCCGTTTTTGAGATTATATCGAACAAACGTAGGTACAGACAAACAGAATACAGACAAGTAGACGAAAATTCCGATGATCATTATTATTTTGGTTTCTATTGCGTATATAAAGGACACCAACCTTTTACAATTTTATTGTAGATGTTTATACATTATCTGCAAAGCAATACATATTTATTACATAATTCTTCGTAGTTTGGATGTTTGTAGGTAAACAAAGTGTTTGCTTCACAGATATAGTAAAAAAGGAGAAGTGGTAAGGGGGCGTGTCAGTGACGCTCGCTCGCACTGAGTAACTAAACCAGCAATGTATAAGTGATTTAACGAAACGCTCATCAAGACGCAATATCACTTGATAATCTGGAACTTACCTGCTCAAAGATTACAGCAGAAGGATCACCGCTCACCAAATATATTCAATTTTAAAATACTAATTAATACGACTAGCATTAGATACTGCAGGAAAATGGAAGTAACAAGATTCATCCTTCAGTGAAAAAGACGTGAATTTTTATTGGGAAGAAAATAAAAACCAATATCTATACGTAAATTGTATTTTATTATCACAAAGTTACAAACTCATAACGTTTCCTTCGAAATTTTATAAACAGCATTCGAGTTTACTAAGAACAGTTTAGTAAACAACAAATTGTCAATTTGTTACAAGTTGTTGTTGTCTATAACTGTGGTAATGAATCGGTACTTATGTATTGTGAAACTATAAGTCCGTAAACACGAGTCGGTGAATGATAAATGGTGCGTTATCGATCAATCATTCATCTCACGATATAGAAAGTAACGATATCTTACAAGATGCAGTGTTTACTCGCTGCAGTTAGATCCATTGTCTATGAATATAAATATTTACACAACAGCTTACTATGTAATACGGACCATCATTGATTAGCTATATTACAATAGGTACCTTGGCAACCTCGTCTCAATACATCAACAAATGGGTATACAAAAGAAATAAGATTCACAATAAACGTTTACAACGTCGGTGCGCCTGCCAAAACTGAATTGTACAAAGTTTTAGATTGTTTTCTTTGCGTTCTTTCAAATCGGATTGCGCATCGATTACAAATCAATTATGTGTTTTTCCCTCTAGAAATCCATTTAACAAAACTATATGTGCACTTTCTGGCCATGACAAATTAGTTATGTGTTCGATTGGTTACGGGTTATGTGATATAAAACGCACATGACAGAAGTTGCAGCATCACATGGATAGTTTGGCAGATTGAACATCAAAAGTTTTTCTGTAAAATTTTTACTTTTTTCTAAGACAAATCTAATATGTGCATCAAAATGGAAAAAAAAAATTGGGTATGAACAGTAGATGTTATAATTTCCAGTTTTATCTCAGTTCATGCGTAATATTTTTTGCCATCTTACTGCATTTTTAATTTATTACTAAGTCCCTCAGTCAGTGTAAGTATAAAAAACAGTTTATTGTTTCCCCTGAAAACTTGATGAAATGCACATAACAGTTGTGGCAGGCGCACCGACCTAGTTACCAAATTTCCTACCTCTATACAAATTTAGGTGTATAATCAAATTCTAAAATATACATCTTTGGCAATTTGTCATAATAATACATCTAAATGAAGAAATAACATGTTGTCATATCAAAGTAGCTACATGCATAGTTGACTGAAAGGCAATTTATTAAAGTACAATCACGCCTTGATTTACAGCCGTTTCAGTAAATCACCTGTACAATTTATTTCAGGTTTTACCCGAGAACCAATTTTTTACCCGCCGGCTAGATCACGACAGTGCGTTAAGTAAGTACCTGCTTACCTTTCCTACATTTTGATGAATAAAGTTATCTAATGTCCCAATTCAGTCACAGTTACACTGACCACTCAAGTTTTTACACGTGGTAACTAAATTTTCTATATAAACATGTGTTATTTAAGTATACACTGGCGATAATTCGACAGTCGGTAAGTCACGATAAGCACCAATACATTGAATGGCATAGCAGTGTCACCGTTCTCGCACTACATCAAGTAACTCAAATTATTTCCTAACAAGCGCGCTATGTGTATTTCATAATCTGTACTGATATGGTACTGTGGCAGGTTTCTGTTCTATTTCTTCCTTCTCCTCTTGTTCCGGGACATAATAGTGAAGCTCGTACGCAGGAGACAACTCCACCGTCAGGTTAGGGTCACAGTGCGGGTCGCACGGCTTTCTGTGTGACAAGAAGTTTGATGCCCTGGGACCGCTCACTTCATACAACCTCTTTATGAATGCAGTCGAAGAAGCTATTCTTCCATTCTCTGGTGTTTGTCTGTGTACAATACTACTGTTGTATAATATCGGAAAGTCCACCCTGAATCTCTCGCTGTTCTGGTTGAAGTTATCGACAAATCTGTTCATAATATCTTTACGGAATTTCACATCGTATTCGTAATCATCATCACCCGGATTGATTTCCTTGGGGGTGGTCATTTTTGCGAGGTCATTGATGGTGACACCGCGAAGTGGAGGCTCTGTGTACGGATACTCGCCTCTTTCGTCTTCACTGTCTTTAGCCGCTTCGTTGATAAAGTCTCGGTAGTGTTTGATTACGTACGAAGCTCTGTTAAAATTTCCATCATTTGGTACGAATCCACTAGGGGGCTCTGGGACGCGTGGTTGAGTAGACAAGTATAGGTTCTTGTCCAAGCTATCAGTTTGGTACATTGGTGTGTAGGTGGGCTTCATTGTTATTTTATTCACAGGTAGATACTTATCGGTGCCAAGGGGAGATGCTGTGCCAAAGGAAGTAGGTGAAGAATGTTTAAGAGGCGCTTTCATAGTATACAAATTTACTTTTCTGTTAAAATCCGCATCATAATCGTTTAAATTTACTTTTTGTGTATTTTTTTGCGTAGGTGGGAAATATTGTAGCGTAGCTTTTCTCTCAGGTTGATATTCTCTCATAGGTTGAGTACGAAATACTTGTGTAGGGGGAGTGACAGGGTTTTCTTTTGGTGTTAGTGGTTTAGTAAATTTCTTCAAATCTATTTTGTGTTGATTTACATAATCAGCATCATACTCGTCAGTAGCATCGTAGTACTCTGCCAAGTTGTAGAACTTCTTTGGTTTATTTGTTGTTAGGGAAGGCTTCATCTCATTTTTGAAAAGATTAAACCCGTCTGTTGATATCGCGTTTACAGACAGATCAAACTCTGTTGTAAGTGATTTGGGTATAGGCGGAGGAGTAAAGTCTAGAATGGAGTCCTCAAAGGATGGTGTAGTTGTCTCTTCTTTAAGAGAAACATTTACATTTTCCCCTGACTCCTCATAGTCACTGTATACTGTATCTCCAAACTTGTTAATCTTTTTCTTTGATTTTCTTACTTCTGCTATCTTTTCTAACCTTACTCTTAAATCTGGGACATTGTCTTTGTTATCTTTGTCAGTCATATTCGCTAACTCTATTTCAGTTTTATTCTTTAACACTTGTGTAAACGATTTAGATGCATTCTTTGGTTTGAACACGATTCCTAAAGAGCTGATACTTTCGTTTCTCCAACTGTTGTCATCAGGATCGCGAACGAAAAGCTTTGGCGGTTGCACATCAATCTTCTTAAGTGGTTTATAATTCGGGTTAACAGTATATAAGATTGTATTTTTCTTTTTTTCGTGTCCAATAGGTTTAACGCTGAGCATATCTTCAGTGTCAGTTTCAGGTACAGTCACAAACCCTTCACTATCTTCTTTCGAACCCTTGACTTTGGGTAAAACGTACCGCTTAGCATTCTCTTCATTGTCGTTGAGCATTTCTTCTTTTAATAACTCTTCTTTGATCGCGTCTTCCGCCTGAAAAGTTTGAAAAATTATCAGTTATCGTAATTTGAACGATGTAAGTAATATTGATATTATTCTAATTTCCATCAACTTACCAATTGACTTTGCGACTCATACACAGTGTCATTCTTAGTGTCTGGCCCCTCAACTTCGCTGGGTTCTGTTTCATACATAGAACTAAACATATCAGTGTTGTTTTTGCTAACTCTTGTTGGGAGCTCTGAGGTGGTGGCTTCACCTTGCTGTGTCATCGTTGTCTCTCGATTATCTTTATAACCTGCTCTTTTTGACACCAGTTCTAACTTCGTATTTCCAATTTCCGTTGTAACAATCATATTTGGTGTAGGCGTTTCAGATTTTTGTACATTGTTTATGTTTGTTGCTTCTATAGTACTGGGGGTTTCAAATTTTCTTGTTGTCGACTCTTGAGAGTTTAAGAGATCATTTTTCAATTGTTCTAGTGATGGTATTAGTGTATTATTGAGGACTTTATCTAAACTTATTTGGGAAGTTTCTGCTACAGCCATTTCTTTAGTTGATATTGTGGTATCTTCAGTACTTGTACGTTTTCTATCAATCGTAGTATATTTTTTCCAAGGTGGCAATGATAGTGTATAAAAATCTGAGGTAAGAGTTTTGGCTGTTGAATAATCTGTATTTGTGGTCGCTTCTGTTGTGCTATTGACTTTTGTAACGTCAGTCTTTAAATCAGTATAATACGTAGGAGTCTCAGTTGTTGTATCAGTAGTGGATATTGAACTTTGTTCTTTGGTATGAGTTTGATCAGCTTCTTCGTCATTATTATTGCTTTGGTTTTTGCTATCCAGAATTTGTAAATCAAATATTGAGCGTGGGTCTTTACGTTCAGCGGCAGATTTAAATTCCGTGTCGTTCAAAATAAATATGTTGGAGCCACGGTTGATCATATTATTATTATCTTTTTTAATAGTATTATTATTGTTGATAGTTTCATTAATAGTGACTGCAGCTTTTTTTTCAATGGAAATATTATCATCGGTAATATTAGCAGAATTTGAATTATTTCGATAAGTTATGGATTTTGTATAGTTTTCATTTTGCACTTTACCATCATTAGCAGTGGTATTCGAACTCTTTATAGATGTCCTAATTTGAGAATCAGTAGTAAGTGAAGTTTGTGTTGTGGCAGTACTAATTATCACTTGACTAATTTCAGGTTCTCTTGTCGTTGTCTGACTCGTGCTTGGTGCAGAAGTAGTAATAGATTTACTAGCTCCTTCTACCGAACTTGTATTCAGTGGGTCGGATCGGTTTTCGGATTTATTATTTTCTGGATTTTTTATCTGCATATCGGCAGTTTTATTAACAATCATTTGCACTGCCTTATTATTTTTATGCAAGGTGTCATTTTTCTCTGTATTCTTTGGGATATTGATTGCTAATACTCTCGAATCTGAATTATTGATCTTCCTTTCATCACTGCTGTCACTATTATTTGAGATCTTCAAATCATACCTTACTTCTAATTTCGCGCTCTCCCCAGTTTCAAGATCTGGTAAGGAATCCAAAATACTTTGTTGCCGAGGTATGGTGAAACCACTGACTGGTGACTTGGTTATTACTATCGTGATTGCCAAGGTAACCACGAATGACCTGGAAATAAATAAATATGAATTTATGAACGCAGAAATGTATTTAGCGGGTTTAAAACGTCTCTTATTTTAAAGGGTAGACTTTAATTCAATAAAAGGGAGTACATTTTTGGGAATACCGTGAGTGCATTGCTGCGTGTTCTGCGTAACCCTGACAACATATCGCGGAGTTACTAATATGTGAGCTCGCGTGACTGAAACACTGCTCAGACGTCGCAGCAGCAGCGCGTTGTGCAGGACAATGGTTGTGTTTTCAAACATAGCTCCATAATGTCCGCTACCACTGTTATTATATAAGTGGTATCACATGTTTAGATAATATCCACACTTATGAATCATTGTATTTCGGACATGTTATGATTTTGTTACTGACTGCACAATTTATTCTTTAATGTGTATAGAGAAGTCTTCTCTGTCTCGCGGTTGGCTTTAGGCCTATTTGAGCAGTAATCGTTTACAAGGTCTTTTTGTAGGTATAACAGACACACAGATCCATGTGGACCTAGGTGAGCTCTCGATCACGATCTTTGATGTTCATATTTTCACTAGGCTTGTGCTCATTTGGTCTGCGCTTGATACGCATGCCATCAGCCATGAACATGCCATCACAAGCGCATCTCTTGCAGCTGATCCAGTATTGGTCTAATTTTAAAATCGTTGTAGCGGTACCTATGACATTAGATGTTATTATGATTACATTTGATGGACTTGAGTAGGTCCTGTTGTTTCGGACCATCAATAATATAAGTATTGATGCGCTACGGCATCGAACTGGTTGCTAATTAATTAACAACTGATGTAATAACTACTAACAAATACACAAACAATGCTCGTTTGCGTGTGCAATCCGCATGCGTCATTCAAGAAGTCATTTTGTTCAATATTTGTTTTTGTAACTAGTAATTGATGGCACTCTCGTTATGTTTACTTGAGTAATGGCTGCAATCAAAGCAAGTACAAGATGGTATAATAGTATCAAGTTAACATGCCCATTAACGGAATTGATTTCTAATACAAAAAAATCGACGTTTTTAATTTAGTAGTAACTAGTCAGAAGTTGCCACAACATGACATAGCTATATGTAGGAACGTAGAGATATAAATTTGTTATAGGAACAATAAATAACACTTATTTGTAAAACCTTTCAAGTGAACCGAGTGATTAATGTAACTATGTAGTAGATACGAATTGTTAGTTGGACGTGTTTTTGCAAGAACATCCTTTTCCTGTTCGATGCCCTAAAATTGCAATGTGGGGATTGACAAGCACGAATGTCGTGCGCGACTCGACACCTACTGACTACTGACTGGTCTATGTAAATATAGTTATTACGTCCCTAAACACCGGTCATGCGTAAATACCCGCGGATTAGCATATCGGTCCAATTTCTTAGCATTTTGCAAACTTCGATGAATGCATTCGGCTTCAGTAGAATAATCATTTATGACGGCGTTTGTAGACTTTATTGTTCTTTGAGAGTGCTGTCTTGCGTAATCAGAAGTAACGATTTTTTGGGTGTATGCTGTTTACCAAAATAATTTAGTGATTTTTGTCAATATTGTAGTTAACACTCCTATTTTATGTAAGCAAGTACCGGCTAAACAGATCGGAACCTATCGAATTAGTTGAGTACCAACTACATTCGTTTGTTACTAAAAGGTAATCTGTATTTTTAGGGATCTTAGTTAGTTTATATCTCTTCTTTCGATCCATTTTCTGATCCATAGTTTCGTTTATTAATCACACTTTCCTCATCCACCTAGTTCTTCTAAAATAACTGTTAAGATTAACTTAATCAGTTTATCTATTTCCTTTATTTGCACAGTTGCCTGTTCATCTTACAAAACACGTAGTGGGTTTTTGGGACAGAAGGGAATATTTTAGCTATTAAATAACTCGCTACTAGGCTGAAATATCAGCATAATGCGAATTAGGCATTAGGGCGATGGCAAAAGTTAACGCCAAAATAATAATTGATAATAGACGTCACCTGGAAATTAAATGGTGATCCAAATGATGGAATGAAGGTACCGGTAAAGTTTATAGTTTACAAAATAAACAACAAAAAGAATAATGTATAAGTATGGAGAATGTATAAAGTTAATGGTATTGTCATTGAAAGGTTTCTTTATGCGATAAGCCGGTAAACGAGCAGACGGATTACCTGATGGTAAGCAATCGGGACCACCCATGGACACCTGAAACATCAGAGACGTTACAAGTGTGTGCTGTGGATTCGGGGATTGGGAAATTTGGTAGGGGGTAGGCCTCCGGTAGCCTCACTCACACGACGAAACACAACGCAAGCGTTTCACGTCAGTTTTTATGAGGCCGTGGTATCACTCCGGTCGAGCCGGCCCATTCGTGCAGAAGGATGAATCTCCCAGATCCAAGTTGCTTTGAATTATACAAGAATGCTTGTTCTCTCATACAATGACTGTCTGTTGATATAATTATTGAAAAGAAATGACATTTATCACAACGTGAGCGGAGAAAATCAAACAAAGTGCTAACAATGTTATAATAATTGTTGTTATAAAAGAGGTTAGATAGATGAAACAATACAGAAGTAATACAGATTAACATTGAATTCTTTTAATAACACCATCTAAGGAAATATTCGATTTATGCACATAATTATGAATAAATATTTGGAAGCTATGAATATGTAACACATGACATTGTAACAGAACACGTCCTGCAACAACTCGCCATGATATCCAAACAAAGTTTTAATGTACGGACATACATTGAAGAACATGATACTTACGTGGAAACAGTCGATTATTAAGAACCTTCCGTATTTGGTAATTACTTAACTAATTGTGTAGAGATATCTATGTAGAAATTACTTTCGAATATGTACCCAAATTAATGTAGGTAAGTAATAGATAATAAATTCCACTACTAATATATACTTAAGCCAAAACAGTAAATTAGGTAGGTATTTACATTTATAATACAAAAATGAATTTGCCAAAACTTGCATCTTTATCTCAGGAAGTTAATACCAGCACTTACATGCGTAGTCTCAATAAAGAATAATAAAGATAAACGGAAATATCGTGCACCCTTGAATGCAACTTTCAACAATACAGGATGTCAGTGAGATCCCTCGAAGTGGGTCAATGAACCACATAGTACGTACAAAGTAACTTACTGCAGTACTTCAGCTACTCACACCGACACTACAGGGATATAAGGGTCATAAAGAATTTTCTAACGCTAATCGTTAAATGTTTGTTCCTACAAGCTGTTCGATAATAAGCAGTTCCGCGAATCAATTTTAATGTTTTAATAACATCATACAAATTGATGGTTTCCTCGTAGGGATGTTTTAACACATAAGTATAGTAAAGGTAAATTAGGTAGGCAACTTGGTACTTATCGATCTACAATGAAGTGGTCATTTTCTGACAGCAACTATATAAAAATATGGATCAATTATGATGTGATGAGACCTATGCAACTAATGTAGGTAACTAATGTGACAAAGTGCTAACAATTAGCAAATATTTCTACAACAATACATGGCCGTGGGTAACAGGCCAGCAGACCATTCACTCACCATGGTAAGTGGCAACACACAGCTATAATTAGTTCAGCAGTCCACTGCACCTTGCAACAGAACCGATGTTTCAAGACAAAATTACAGACGGTCACAGACATAGTTTAAACAAATAGCTAGGTCTATGACTTCACGTTTGGCTATGACTATGACACGTGGTTACGGCTTGACAGAACCCTAAATAATATGACAACGGATTTAACGAGAAAATTAAATAGGACCCTTTATTACTTATGGAGAGAACAGTAACAAGCAGATTCCCTATGTAAAATAGGACATTCAGCCGGATCTGGATACTAAGTCTGTCGACCACCGCTAATTATTTAGGATAAGCCGAAAAGGCCGGGAGAACGCTGAAAGAGTTACAAATACGTAGCTAAAGCAGTTACTCTGTAACTTCCGATGATAAAAAATCATGTGAAAATAATAACAGGTTATTGTTTACATTGATGATGCGACGGACATACAAATATCAATAGGTATTATTGCATCACACGAAAATTGAAACAAATGTGCCTATCATTGTGTATGTACATAATATAACAATGGCTGCCGAATGTCAACTGACTGTTGATGATGTTAGGACAAAGCCAATTTAATTCTCCTACTCACAACATGAATTAGGCACCTCCTTTATGTTGTGTGTTTCTCAATGATTACTAATTAAATAAATATCTATTATGAACACTTTAGTAGCGACTTAGTATAAAGTGTAGGTACTTTATAAGCTGACAGACTTATGTAAAGTAGAACAAGATTACCTAATTTCTAAGATGCAGGTACTCGTGCACCTAATCTGCAAATACTTATGTTTGGATACCTTTAGCTTCTACACTTCTGTAGCAAAAAAGAAGTCGTAGATGTTAAGAGAGAGTGATAATGTCCTAGCTGTACCTACGACTGTAATTAGGTCGAATAGATAAAAACATTGCCGATTTTTGATAGTTACAATAACTACTATGTATGTATGTTTTTCTATTGACTTACACGTTCGTTTTCGTATTAGCCAAGAACGGTGGCGAAATGAATAAAAATCGATATATTGCGTGCATTATTCAGGTATCCAGAACAACTTATAATGTACAAGTCGAGCCTTGCATACAATAATGCAAGGCTTATTTCAATTACATGGGTCCACCTTATTTTCGGAGACTCGCTTGAACTAATGATTATGTCGGTTCGGTCACGGCCATAGTTTGATATTGAGGAACGCACTGGACACCAGAACCGAGGTTACTCTTAACCTTCATTCAAAACTTGAAGAATAAGCAAGACAATGACAGTTATGTGATGATTAAAAAAATATGTAAATCATGCAATAATATATAAACTGCCTCGTTAGCCGAGTGTTCGCAAATGCTACTGTCGGGGAAAGGGGTCCTCGGGTTCGATTCCCGGGTCGGGCAAAGTATTACTGGGTTTTTAAAAAATATCCGTAGTAGCACGGAGTCTGGAATTGTGCCCGGTATATGGCAATAGGCTCACCCCCTATTAACATACATAAATAGTGAAAAATGGATGTTACATTGTACAGTGGTATAGTGTGCACCTCTGCCTACCCATTCGGGGATGAAATGCGTGATGTTATGTATGTTATGTAAAAATATCTGATTAGATTCGCACGTTCATAGAAGAATTTTAACAGTTATTTATATAAATAAATATGTGGTCGTTAGAAAATCACAAATACACTGCACAAATTAAAGACATTGGCGCCATTTCAGGAGGAAATGCGATCTGACTGACAACTGTCTGACTGTCTTTGATTAAGTTTTGTCATCCTAGTAGTACCAGTCAGTAGGTGGTAACTATACCTACCTATGAAATCGAAATGAAATCGTGAAACCTATATCGTTTTCGTCCCGTAGTAAAATGGTTCTGACTTTGTAATACAATAGTTTTACAAACAAATAAAATGTTAAAACAAAAACTAACTGGTGAACTAAAGCGCCTACGAACTTATAGTAGGTATATTTTCAAAACATCACGCCATGTAAATCTCGAAGAGGTATTTCTCATCGGGTGGCCCGTGAGACGTAATTACAAATTTACGTTTAGTGTTTCATGCGCGTATTTCTATGAAGTTATTACCTAGTTATTTTTTTGTTTTTACTTTATACACCAAAAGTACTCCTTAGGGCAAATTGTTTAGCCGCGGGACAAAAACGAAATAAATTTCACGGTGTATAGGTATTGAAATTTGAAATGAATGAGAATCGATCCCACGGTATGCACATTTAATGGATTATGCAGTTTTCCCTACAGTTCTGTAAGTGCCTGAAAAGATAATGTTAAATGGCTAATAATAGCGATTAATTTAGTAAATTCACTAATGTCCAATAAATATCACTCACTGGTCAGCAAGAGTAACAAACACATTGGGTACGAGTATACCACCGTAGAAGTACCATTTGAAGAAAATTCCAATAGATGGTGAGGTGATGGTCCATCCCAGATTACACAAGACGACACGTAGAGGTTTCTCACCTGCGGCAAGCAGCAGGCACCTACCTCAGGCATCCATACGCAATACGCAACACATCACAAACGCAACTATCGCGAGCCAATGGCGCGTGCACTGCGTGCAGCAAGGTCCTACCTGAGTGTGTGGTACTGGCCCATGCTGGCTCTAGTCCGAGGCACGGCCGCGCTGCGCGGTGACCGCTCCATTACTAACAGTGTGTTACCTCAACGTCGACGTCAATGCTTCCTTCCATTGAGCAACTGTGAAACAGTAAGGATGACCGCGACGCCTAGCGCCTTCGCCGCGCTGTTCCCGCGTAATACCGCGCTTCCCCTAGTTCCGGGCACCGGCCTTCACCAATCAGTTTCACATGATTATACATACACGTCATAATTTGAATAGGTAATATTAATTAAAATTTACCGTTTTTGGTATAAAGCTTAAAAATGTTTGGTAATTACATAAATGGCTGGTAATGTATCATTGCCCATCCTTAGCTCTTATACGTTAATTATAATTATTGGAACCGGTAAAGGAACCTGGTGATTATCGTATTTATTGTAAGCCGATAGGTTAATCCTGTCATACCCATGTACATATTTAAAGCTTCTACCAAATTAGAGAGACTAAATGTTGCAGTTCCGTTTATTGGCAATGCAGGCGTTTATTTGTTCATAACGCACGTTTACATGATTTGTCGGTTATATTCTCATACATATGAGTTAGGTACTTTACAAACAAACACAAATAAACAATGCTGAATTTAGCTATTGAACCTGACTGAATGCTATTGTGACCATTATACATTTACAAAGACGTCAATTTAAATAAGTTATTTTACGTAACGTATTATACGCACCAGCTTGAGCTAAGTGGCAGTACCGTCAATGAACAATAACTTCGTCATGCACAGGCAGGTGGCAGTTCTTTCAATTTAATGACTTTTATTCACAACCTCATTCTAAGCTAATCGTAGCTTTTTCGCTTATCTGATATTTTACATGCGTGTTACGGAGCCATGTGTGTCGTGTGTCGTAGAGTAGCCGTAGCATGTGGTCGTAGCACTCGTAGCTAAAGATGGGGGTGTTTTCGGATAAATATTCAAAAAGGGTCTTTGCATTTATCTATTTTGAGTAGGTACCTATTTCTGTGTATCTCTACTCGTAACTGGCCAGGTTATTGCTGATCATTTTCTTGGTCACGTACTATTTTTTCGGTACTGCACATTGGTCAATAAAGAAATAGGTACGTAACATTGTATGTACAGATTTACCGAAAACCCTACGGGAATGGAGAAAAACAGGATTACGCGTACAAAGTCGCAGGGATAATGATATAAAGTGTATGCGTAGATATGATATTTAATTAAGTAATTGTGCAGTTTCTAAGTACTGTTCTTATTACGACACATGTTTGGGAGCGATGCGAGGTACGGGTGACGTCCAACGTCGTACAGTCGTGATGAACAAGTTCAGTAAGTTAGTACTTAGTACCAATATAACGTTATGATACACACTGTAATCAACTGTAATAATACACACGTAATCATTACATGAGCACACTCGATTTACTTGTGGCCAGTTCTGCCTGCGTCGAAGAATGTGGTAACCGTTGTCGCTTTAAGAATTATTGGTATCTATTGAAAATATATTTGTTTGTCCTTCCTGTTTTAAACTGTCAAACACCAAGCGGTCACCGGTGACCGCAACCTATTGTTCTATAATTGTGTCTACAAAACCGGTACTCGACGAGTTAAATGAACTTGCCTATGTACTTCCATAGGATATACGATAGATAGAGATATCTATCGTGGATACCCGTAACACCAGACGAATAACAACTAACAAGTGCGTTACTGACCTTGAAATTAGTTTTTTGTGACCAGCCCGCCACAACCTCCCAAAACCGCAACCTGCAACCTGCAACTCCTGTAAGCCAGGATCTACCGTAGATACAACCATGAAATCACCAGAACACTGAAGTCCGGCGCGTCCCAGGGACATGAGTAACTGTCTTGATTCCCGCAACGAAGTGCATCAGAAGATATTATAAGAGGAGAAGAAAACAAAAACGATAGTTTCCACTTCCCTCGGTGAATTACTGCAGGAGACAGAATGAATTAAACTGTCAAACACCAAGCGGTCACCGGTGACCGCAACCTATTGTTCTATAATTGTGTCTATAATGACGGTACGCGACGAGTTAAGCCTAAAGGCACAAAAAAGAGACTGTACAACTGGGTGAAGCTCAGTCGAAATTTGTTTTAGATTCCACAAGGTCCGTATAATAAGCTACACCAGACGAAACAATAAAATTATTCATAGTGTAGTATGTGATGGGCGGACTGCTCGTATTGCAGCTCTGCTGTCGAACATTGGCACCATAGTGAATCAACAAGTTTAAATGAGAACAATTTGCTTTTAAAGTTGCCGTGGCCAGTAAGAAATTGGGCAACACAGTGCCATGTCCTCTCCAGCCGCTCATGCACGGATGGGAAGAACTGATATACAGACCTTGAGATTATGGATTATATGATTGGAGGAGTAGCGTTTCACGTTGGTGTTTTGTATGATCATATTACCTCATAAACTTCTAAATTAGTTATCATAATTGGCTCGAATGGACCGGTTCTACATGACGTGGAGCCGGCTCAATTTCTCATTGCCGCCCAAATCGATAAAAAAAATAAAAGATAACATTAGATAATATTTATTAAGGTTGGAAACACCACTCCTTTCCCATTCCTACCCTTCGAGCTGGAGCTCTGGCAATGGCAACCCGTTAAGTCCTCCACAGCTCAACCGCAGCTAGCTACTACTGGGGCCCAGTAGGGCTAATGCCCATGTACAGATGATTACATAACACAAACATTTTGTGTAACATTCTAATTATGTTTTTTTTATAATTTTACACACATTTTTTTTATAATTTCGCAACAATAATGCATACGTTTGTTAATTAATATGCATAATAAATACTAAATAATAAGAACTAAGATTAGATATTTAGTTCATTCTAATTTAATTACGAGCAATACATCATTTTAAAATAAAGTCTGTGGACCATGGACAAGATCTCACTTCATTTTAATTTTTTGGCTTTTTTGTTTTCTTTTTATTTTTAAATATGTTATGTGCGTTTTGCGCAAAAATAAATGGCTTTTCTTTCTTTCTTTCTTTCTATTTTATTCTATTAAAAAGGTTTTTAATGGAGGACTGTCTTCATTCAATAATTTTTTTTCCGAACGAAATTTTTTTGCATTCCAAAACTTGTACAGACAGCAATGATGTTTAGCATAAAAAGTTTTATCTCTTTCTTACCTTAGCAAATAAAACGAGAAAGGTAGTTTACGTCATTATCATTTCGTTAATTTTATTAGGTTGGTACACATGCTGTCAAAGCAAATTCAAATTCAAAACAAGCTTTTGAAACCGTAACAGTTATTGACGTTAATAATTTTTAGTCTTGTTTTGTGCCTGTAAATTGTAATATTAATATATTAATTAATAATACAATGGCAGAGTTTAAAACACCTATCAAAACTAAAGGTCGGGATCGAGATGAAACAATAACAATACCTCCGTCACCGTTTTTGAACAGACTTGGTTATGGAACTGGTAAATGTTGTTTATTTGAAATACTCCTGTGCATATTAGAATTATTTGTGCTTTATGTATAAGAAAATCAACTCATGGTCGACTTAAAACACTCCACGTTTTGTGTCCTATTAGAAACCTCACATTATTTTAAACCATAAAATATCTACAATTTTGCTTAGGTGGGACAGTAAAAAAGTTCTTCCACGTGGTAAATAAAACTAAGAAATTAATTGTTTCATGTTACTTTTAGGTGTAAATGTGATGCAGCTAGTTAGATCACCTCGGGCGGGACAAGTCCGTTCGCCATGGGCTCTGAAGATGTTGAACCGGCGTGTGAAACCCAACAAGGTTTACACACATCGCTTGAAAGCTGAAGCTGACCTACTACGTCGCATGTCACACCCTAACATTGTTGGGTTCCGCGCGTTTAGCAATGCAAAGATTTTGTACCTGGGTATGGAGGCGTGTGACCTCTCCCTGGGTGATATGATTGAGAAAAGGATTGAAACCAATAGCGAGCCTTTCCTTCCTAGACAAATGTTAAAAGTAAGTTGAATGTATGTAGGTATACCGTTTTTCTCATCACACTCATGTATTAATGACAGACAGTGCCCACTATTATCATTTATTGAGTGAAATTTCCAATTATGGTACTTGCATGTAAACAGATTATAAGATATTTTACATGTTAAGTGGTAACTTTATGATATTGCACAAATGTTTACTCAATAACCTTGTTCTAGGTTTGTGCAGATATAGCCAGTGCCCTACACTATCTTCACACAAACATGCAAATTCTGCATGGAGATATGAAGTCATACAACATCTTGGTGAACGGAGATTTTGTAATCTGTAAGCTTTGTGACTTTGGTGTCTGCCTGCCCCTTGATGAAAATGGTGTCTTTGACAAGACTATGGCTGGGAAAGCTACATACTTTGGTAAGATGTTAATACAGGCTTAGAAATAGTTAAATTTTTTGTTACAACAGTCACAAAATGTGTGTAAGGTAAATTTGGGTTTGTAATCACTATTGTTTTACACTGGTTTCAGTTTTCACTAAATTATGTAGAATGAAAAATGGTGTTTGAGGATCAAGAGTTTGAAGTAGGTAATTTTACAGTACACCATACACTTGTAGGTCTAGATACATGAGTTCTGAAACAACTAAAGATATAGTAGTTGTACTTTATAAGCTCTGATTAGGCACTATTGACCAAACATCTAGTTCCAGTGTTGTAAGAAAAGAAATGAAGTTACAGCACAGATTCCTAATTGTGAATAGTCATAAAATGAATTAAATACCTGGGATCTAGAAATATCTGGTGGTGTGCAAGTAGGTCTCTGTCCTGCAGGCAAGAACTTCTGATTACATACCTGATACTATCATTGTATAAAACCATTGTTATACTAGTGCAGCTGCATTCAAATTTCAACAAGCTCACTGTTTTGCCTATGTCATAAAAGCCATAATAATATCTATTCAATGTAAAATTAAAACAACTGAATAATGGAATTTAATCTACTATTAAGTTTAGGCAATAACTAAATATCTTATTATTTTTGTAAAAGAAAACATCATTGTGATTACTATACATTTTTATATCTCTATTTGAAACCCTACCTATGTTTTGTGCTGATTTATATGCGTTTTATTACTAGCGAAGGTCATCCATTTTTCTTTTTACAGGTACTGAAGCTTGGAGTGCTCCAGAAGTGATCCACGGAGGTGAGATCTCCAGTAAGACAGACATCTGGCCGCTGGGGCTCACTCTGTGGGAGATGATGGCCCTGGTCCCTCCACACACACAGACAGAAGACACATACATGGAGGATGACAGTATACAGTGCCTGGATGACTCCATGGACAGTGTGACTGATTACTTCTCAGATAGATATGGTGAGTTACTATTTAATTTTATATGTAAACTTTTACTCTTGTTTTACTCGTTGGCAAAGAGAAAAACAACAGCAAATAAATGACCGGTATTATAAAATTATGTATACTATGTATTTAGTACTTACATTCTTTTGTAATCACTATAATAATAGGTGTATAATGTAGTTTCACTTTCAAGAATCTATAAACCCTGCTATATAATGATATTATTTGTACTATGTGTAGTATTTTTATATGTGTAATATATGTGTTGGTTTGTTCTTTGTTGTTTCGATCTCTTTGACTGGATTTTGGTGTTACATTGTTTTCGCACAATCGAACTAACAAAACTATGTAACTAGAGAATTGTAGATTAAAAACGAGTAACCTATGGAGTTTCTTGCTCGTTCATCTCCATGGGAATCTACACCTTGGAATGAGCAAATAACTTTACTTATAATTTTTGTTTGACGTTCAAAAGTACCTTTCTGGTGTAGTTGAAATAAATTACTTTGACTTTGTTTCACAGGTACCAGGCCAGCTGTACCAGCAAATATCTCTGAGAAGGTGTACATTCATCCCCTCGCCCTGTTCCACTGCTGCACGGAGACGATGCCGGCCATGCGACCCTCGGCACAGCATCTGTCTATAGCTGCAGTGGACATGTTGGAACAATGCGAGGCAGGACGATAAATTATACATTTGTACCTAATTGATTAGTTTTAAGGGTGTAGTAGTTACTACACTACAGGGTAAAATTACTCATTTGTATTTTACTTGGATGTTTTGTTATTAACTTGTATTCTGTGAGTACATAGACTGACTGTTTTTATTATTAATGGCAAGATTATGTATTAATATTGATACTTTAATAAATTAACAGTATTTTTTAAGTACCTGTGATGACTTTTCATTTTTAAACTGATCCACAATCTCTTTTGTTAGCCACATGTGTATATGTATTAGCTAAGCTACGTGAACATAAGATAGCCCTTATTCTAATTCGAGCTAAATAAGTAAAGAACAACATAAGAGATAAAAAACAAAAAATATATGTACTCTGAACTAAATACGACAGTTGCTACAAAAGTACGTCATATTTGTTTCGAAGTATCAAGAGTTCATAAAATAGTAATGGGTAAAATAGATAAGCGATAGCTTGGTTGTCGTCTGTCAAACTACGCGCTGAGCTATGAGTGCCGCTGTGGCCTGGCGCCCGCGCTAGTATGCTCTTTGGCTATGAGCGCTGGCTCATACTACGTCATGAAGTCCTGATACTTCGGAACGAATTTTATGATTGGTATTTAATAATTTTAACAGATTAATAAAATTGGTGAGTTTATTTAATTTATAATGTCATTAATACGAGCACCAATCCTGCGGAGTTAGCTCGCCTATTGGCTGTGGGTGAGTGGGAATCGGGCACAATGTTGAATGACTCAACTTTTCGGGTTGCTGCTTGCTTGCGTGTAGGTGCACCCTGTGTTACTCCGCATCGCTGTCAATGCGGTGAGATGGCCGACCACCTCGGCCACCACGGCCTATCGTGTAGCAGAAGCGCGGGCCGGATAGCCATAGCCACGCCAGCATTAACGACATTATCCGTCGAGCTCTTGTCATCGCCGGTGTGCCAGCTGTTCTGGAACCAAAGGGTTTGGCATGCGACGATGATAAGAGACCCGACGATATGTCCATTATGCCCTGGAAGCTGGGAAGGTCTTTGGTGTGGGACGCAACCTGCGTCGACATCCTTCTCATCTTCCACTAACGGCGGGTTGTGCTGGTTCGGCCACTGCCTCTGCAGAAAACCTCAAGTGGCGCAAATATAACAACCTTGCTGGTAGTTATATCTTTGAGCCGTTTGGAATTGAGACGCTAGGTCCGTTGGGTCAGAGTGCGCTTAAATTATTCAAAAACATTTAGAAACGCCTGGTCGACGCATCTCGTTACCAGAGAGCGATCCTTTTCTCGGTCAGAGGTTAAGCATTGCCATACAACGTGGCAATGCTGCCAGTCTTCTGGGTACTTTCCCCAGTGACGTCAACGCGGACGAATTTTTCGATGCTGTGTGTAAATAGTGGTTTTTGTTTTTCTTTTATATAATTTTAATCTTAAGTTGTATATATTTTATTATTAATTTAGTAACAGTTAATTTTAATTTTATTTAAGTTTTTATTGGAAATGGAAATTTAATAAATTTGGTAGGAGGGTTGTTTCGAGAAACCGAAAAATGAATACAGAGTTTATAAGTAAAACTTTATATTTAAAAAAATCAACTGTACTGTTCATACTTTATAACATAACAACATTGTGGAAACTTACATCTACACCGACACATGTATTATGCTATGTAATCATATGTTATGAGTTAAATATCATGTTTATTTGGTGAGTTATCCCTAAAACCATTTTATTAAAATAATTGACCATTATGGAACTATTGTGTTGTTAGAGGAACGACTATTGACACGAGATTATATACACAGGTCTAGCGTAAAATCGAAATACGTCCCAAAATTAAAACGAGATTCTTAATTGAGAATACCACAACTAAACACGATACAATTTAATATACAATTGAGCGACGACTACATTATAAATGGTGACGTTATAATACAAATAAATACTTCACTTAGCCTAAATACTATAACAATACAACAGTAACCTTACCAACTAGTTGTGTATGTGATTGTATGAAAAATACATTTTTGTCGTACAAGCTATAGTGATTAAGACGTTTGGCGGTCATCTACAACTTCTGACATATTCGTTTAATTGATTATAATCTGTTTTATTTTTCATTGTAGGTCAGAAACTGTAATGACCGACACAAGTTGACTAGTGTTAAATTAAAACATGTTTACATATCGCTTATTGACTAAATCAGCACCAACAATAAATCCAATTTTTATTTAGAACTTGTTCACGTCATCTGTAAACGGTGGCAATATTGTCGAAGTTAATTTCCCGGGCAAATAATTTTCATTAAAATTTAATTGTCGAGGTTAATTTCCCGGGCAAATAATCTTCATTAAAATTTAATGTTCCACTGGTTAAGAGGTGACTTCCCTATTTTGATTCGTATTTATAAACAGTTGTAAATGTTGCTATCGTTTACAAGGGTAGAATGAATGTATAACTATTTAGTAACAGGTGAGGTATTGCATAAGGCGAGTGGGTAAAGCTATACGAGTATGGCTGCGAGTACATCATACAAAATATTCAGTTTTAGTAACTATAGTTAGGAATACGAGATTGTATGCAGATCGATATTATCCACGGGTGAGATTTATAACAAATGATTCGTCTGTTACTTGGGAGCTGTCATTTAAGATTGCGTTATTGTATAAAAATGTACTAAGTGCACATTTCATTTGCGGGTAAAATTATTAATATATTTCATTGAAAATAAAAGTTCCTTATCACATTGTTTTGTAAGGACAACGGATATTGTCGAAGAATAACTAGCACTAAATGACAGTTCCTAATTAGTAAGACAATAACGTTCAAGAGCCCGGGGAGGACGGAGCGGGCCGGCATCATGTTTGCGCGAGTTCGTGTTCGAGGCGGCGCAGGTAGGCGACGACGTCGTGCTTGCGGGCGGCGGCGGCGGCCTGCAGCGCCGTGAGGCCGCCCGCGTTGCGCAGCGACAGCCGCGAGCGCCGCGCCAGCAGCCGCACGCACGACATCTGCCCGAACATCGCTGCGCCGTGGAGGGCCGACTGACCGTTCTGAAATTGTTCAATTCATTAGCGCCATCTAGTATCTACTAGACAAAAAATTAGTTTACCGCAATCTTATGCCAAGTAAATATAAAATGGCATTTGCGCCATCTAGTGTCAAGTAGATAAACAAGTGAGATGAGCGCCATCCTGTGTCAAGCAGATAAACAAATGACGTTAGCGCCATCTTCTGTCAAGTAGATAAACAAATGACGCTAGCGCCATCTTCCGTCAAGCAGATAAACAATAACGATAGTGCCATCTTGTGTGGAGCAGATTTAAACAAATTCCATTTCTAACAAAACAATAGTACTAGTTCACGCGACTTTTTCAATAGATGTCACTACTAATTGGTCTAGAAATTAAAATCTTACGGGAAGCAATCCAAGGTTTGGTTTGTATTTGAGCAGTTCTACAACGACCGCGGCGTGGCCCTTGTGGGCTGCTTTGAAGAGAGGAGTAGCTCCGTCCTGGAAGATTACAATGCACATTTAACACGGAATTATGTGTTGTTGGTGAAATAATTTTAGAAGCGATTTGTGAATGAATTGAGCAAGAGTTAAAATAAGAAGTTTGGTTTTAGATTATAATTTGTGATGTTAAAAAAATATGCATTTTCCTATACTATTTTTTCCTATGTTCAATTTAGTTGTAAATACTTTAGTTTTTATTTATAGGTACATATCTTATTCTGTGAAAACTATGTAAAAGCCGATGTAAAACTAAAGTCTCTCCCAAGGTTGTGTCAATATTAGTATTAAGGTCTACACTACTATGTATTTTGGTGGAAAATAATAAAATTTATTATTCTTTTATTAGTCCTAGTTATTTATTACTTAGTAAATATCTATATACCGATTAGTTTAATTATAGTTTATAAATGTTAATATGTTATGTTATGTAAGTATCACAATAAAAAAAATATCATTAACCGATTTCAAAAAAATAAAGATATAGGTATTTAATGTATTGTTGAATTCGACGCAGTGTGTCGTAATAGCTAGAGTTCTAATTGGAAGAGAGTAGTGCGAGGGGAAGGACTTTGTTGAGTACAGACAGACAGCGGGGTGCATCTGTAAGTTGCTAGCAGTAGTAGCGACCTGTCGCACGTGGTCGGGCCCCGCGCCGGCCGACACTAGCCTGTAGGTAGGTACCTGTCGCACGTGGTCGGGCCCCGCGCCGGCCGACACTAGCCTGTAGGTAGGTACCTGTCGCACGTGGTCGGGCCCCGCGCCGGCCGACACTAGCCTGTAGGTAGGTACCTGTCGCACGTGGTCGGGCCCCGCGCCGGCGGCCAGCAGTCTGCGCGCGACGTGCTGGTGGCCGCACTGCGCGGCGATCCACAGCGGCGTGGCGCGGTCGGCGCGCGGCGCGTCCACGGCGGCGCCGGCCGACACCAGCGCCGCGCACACGTCCTCGTGCCCGTTCTGGGCCGCTATGAACAAGGGACTCGCTTTGTCCTGGAACCATAGTCACAATATTCTTACTAGACGCTGCAAATCCAAGCTTCCCGTAACATAACAAAGAGACTGCTATATCTGTATTACAGTCCGTGCTTAGATCATGATCTATCGCATATGACTTTCAACTTGTGATGTGCGGTGACAGTTTCGAAAGTTATGGAAACAGGCATATCTTAAAATGAAGCACAGCTACCAACAACCAGTAATTTAAACAAATGATTAAAAATATATAAATAATTCAAGTGATTTTCTTTAAGTCAACGACTTCGAAGTGCTTCAGATATCAACAGGTATGTTAAGATTAATTGACCAGGTATTTAGCTTTACCTTCATACAAGAGTTGACGTTGGCTCCCCTCCGGATGAGCTCGTCGACGACTGGCAGGTGACCGCACTGGCACGCCACGAACAGCGGCGTGCCACCGTCCTGAGGACGTGAACGCATATAATATTAACATGGTAATCTGTTACAAATATTTTTTTTTCACAAAATACAATAAATTGTAGTGCACCGACCATGCTAGGAGCGTCGATGGCAGCTCCTGAGTCGAGCAGTAATCGCGCGATGTCCAGGAACCCGCCCTGCGCCGCGAAGAACAGCGCACTCGTTCCTGTCTGCAAATAAATTCCGAGACTTTTTGATTTTGTGTCATGTTTGTGTAAAGTTATGTATACAATGCTTCGACATAATAATACGCAAGTTCTGAGGCCTTAGTACGAGTTTGTTTTACGTTTAAAGTAATCGTAACGAGTACGCTGTGATTGGTTGCTTCACTTGAGCCGGCCAATCAGAGTGCCGAACGCGTCCTCGTCCTCGAATACTTTAAACGTAAATCAAACTCGTACTAAGGCCTCTGTTGTGCTATAAATCCGATGTCACTTGCACAAGTCTACGTACGTCTACTAGAACTCCTAGTAGCATTCTAAATAATTTATGTTTTCGAAGTCGTTTAAGCACATAACTGTTTGCTACATAATATTGAATAATATAGGATATCCATACCGTCCTGCTGCAGGCCGGGTCGGCGCCCTGCGCCAGCAGCTCGCGCACGCACTCCGTGTGACCCATCGCAGCTGACAGGATCAGCGGGGTCGTGCCGTCCTGGAGGAACGAAATGTAATGGAATGTATTCTTTATTCCATTGTGTTAAGGACTTATGTTTACACTTTACAGGAATTATGAGATCGCAGCTTATCATTCGCACATTTTCCTGACCTTATCGTTATCGCACACAATATACTCTCACTGAGATTTATCTCACGTGCATATTTTAGATTAAATTAGCTGGAACCCCATATTTTCTAATTAGGTAAAAATAATGTAAGGTAAGCAGAGACCATTGACTGCACGGTTGGTGGGTGGGCAACCGGCTGCCGCGCAACTTGTAGCAGGTTCGATTACCACACGGAGCAACTCTTTGTGTGATCCATAAATTGTTGTTCCGGGTCTGGGTGTCATGTGTATGCGATATTGTATGTTTGTAAACGCACACACGACACAGGAGAAAATCCGAGAGTGGAGCAACGTTTTTAGAAAAACAAAAAGACTACTACTTGCACCATCCTCTTTATCAAAAACTATTGTTCATTTCCTCGATCAGACAACCAAATCTGCCCACTACCACCATGATTACATGTATTTGCTGGTAGTAATTATATTTATTACACGAGTAACACAGATAACATTCCGTCACCCTCATAATTTACTAGCCTATGCAAATAAACGGTCTCCACATTTCCCGCTGTAAAAGAAAACTCATTAGGAACTTTCGTTTGCCGCCTTTTACCGGCCACGACGCGGCATAAAGCGCTCATTTGTGAATATAGGCCGGCTGGACGCCGACTTTATGTTCACGTGATGGAGAAGCCAAGAGTGCAAACCACGAAAAGTGTACCTAATTTGTTAATACATACTTTAACAGCTTCAAGAGTGTCACCGAGGATTGACTGTGGGAGAATTAATATGAGAAGCGTTATATTTGTGTTTGGCACAGTTCTAGCCTTCTGGGTTCTATATTATTTACGTGTAGACTAGAATTTACTAGACAGTTTCCAGAGCCGGGACCAAATTATGTGTCCAGCGGTCGTATCTAAAAAGTAGGTCAAAGAGACTTAAGACCTACACCACCCATATTATGATGGAACGGCTATCACAAACAAATTGAATGATATACATTCATAGTGCACACACGTGAATCAGCGGTTTTGCATCGCTATTATTTGGACACAATTCGTAACGTAAATAGGTAAATAATAATCGGAGACGTGCACGCATGAAAATCATTAACCTCTTTTGCTATCAAATGGGTAGACGCAGCAAAAGGTGAATGGGGGTTATTTACGTAAAATTTTAGGTACAAGCATCAATTTCTGGGACGAAGTTATGAAGATTTAGAATTTGCTTGCAACTTCGTAAGTACACAGTCATAGCTCATTTTTAGCTGTTTATCGTGTTTCGAAAAAATGAATTGTACACTATTCAACTGAGGTAGGGAAAGACGAGAAGAAACTGACCAGCTAAGCACCGACGACAGTAGTTGGACTAGATACAAATCTACAGCCGATTATAATCTACACACGTATTAGCGGTACACTTCAAAATGACAACATCACTATAACAACAAGTCACAATGACGGCTACTTCCGTCACTCGCAGTTAATGCTCTCTCTAATATGGTCAGCCGAGACACCTTACTATCAATTATATCGAATATGGAAAGTGATTGAGCATTAATTTTAGCTAAAATGCTGATGTAGGTACCTAAAAGCTTTCATTAAAAATGTAGGTGAGTTCACTTCGCGAATTTGTTAATTGGTTACTGGCAATGCAAAATGCTTATAGACATAAGGGAACACAATGGGAAGATTTCCAACTACTTATCAAATAATAGTACAGACTATGGACCTAGATGTTTAATTAGTCGTCAATTGCTTGTATCTCTACGTTAATCACTGGTCAATGACGCTGACAATTGTCCATGTGACTAGCAACTGTAGAGTAACTGCTAAAAGGCATTGTATTCAGTAATTGTAATTATCTACTGCATTTATCATCATGTGTAAAGTACGTGTAGTAGTGTTTTTGTAATTTTGTAATTATGCTCGTGGTGACCCAGATTCAAATAGGTACTGAACAATACACAGAAGAACCCTGGACCTGACTGCGATCAGTGCCTGGCGAGGGTGGAGATTATGGCAAGCCCTCTTATGTAGGTCCTAGTCCTATAGACCTTGCCGCAGAGAACCTAACGGGTTATCGGGGCTCCGGTTCGAAGTGCATGAGAAGGAACGGGGTGGTTTTTAGTCAGCAAGAGTCTGACACTCCCTCTCGCCTCACCCAGGCGGGAGAAGTCATTCGATGATTTTCCCCCTTAAAAAAAGTCCTATAGATCTTCGTCGGACGATCTCCGGCCACCATAAGCACAGGCCGGCGGACGGCGAGCATGGGTAGCTCGCCGCCCGATTAGAACTAGACCCAAGAGTACGAACCATCGCGTTCCGCGCGCGCCTCAAAAAGCCGTCAGACCACTACGGATGGGGCCTAATAGGGCTGATACCGATACGGAGCCACGGAGTAAAAACGGGGTGGTTTTTATTCGGTCGGAGTCCCACTCCCTCTCGCCTCACCCACCTGGGACAAGGTCTTCGATGATTTTACCCATTTAAAAAAATCACATAGATCTTCACGGATTATTGATGATTTTAATAAAATTTTTATTTCCTCAAAAGGAGGAAACATTTTTTGTTAAGGCCTAAAATAGCTCCAATTTCCTCTGGCACAGTTATGTTAAAGCTCTGTTTTCCATGATTAACAAGTGCTCACTTAAGCTGTAATTATGAACTGCTGTTTACATTGCGCGCTACGTTTACATTAACTGCGGTTAAACTAACGAGCTGTCAACTGCGCTCTGGTTAATGATGACGTTAAACTATGTATGTTTACGCTTTCTTTTTGATTTGTATAAAATTGTAGCAGATATTTAAGGTAAGGTGTAAGCTAGGGACTGAATGATTAAAAAGAGTAACCATGGCACTTGCTGCCCGTTGTTCTCCATCTATACTTTAGATTTAGGATTGTAGCAGATATTTAAGGTAAGGTGTAAGCTAGGGACTGAATGATTAAAAAGAGTAACCATGGCACTTGCTGCCCGTTGTTCTCCATCTATACTTTAGATTTAGGACGAGCAAATATATTCACTAGAGGGCCGATCGAAAATCGACAGACAGACTTTTTATTGTTTGAATCACCAAAGGCCAAAGGCCTCTTCTCATACGGAGAAGGTTCATATTAATAAACTATAATGCTTGTTATCGCTAGACCAATGAGGCTGTAATATAAAAAACTTCATCTTATCACTACTGCATTACAGCATACGTTTTCTTTACATATTATTGACGAAGAAAAAGCGCATTCATCTTCTACATACAATTGTAAGCACGTACGTTCCCCATCATTAGTTGTGTTATGTGTTTAGCTTACTGTAACCAGTGTACACGCGACTTTACACAAGTCGTACATCATGAACACTGCATGGTTAAAAGAAAAAGCATGCTTAATCAGGGCTACCGTTCTTTTGATCACTACATGGAGCTAAGTTACTTGAGGTCCAAGTTGTCCGATACCTATTACTGTAGCAGTCAAAAATTATATATTTTCAATCTTTGATCTATACTTTTCTGTGAGGGCATAGAATATAGATCAAAAGAAAATAATCTTCTTGGAAAATTGTAATAAGAAAATGGCCTCAAGTCGTTTTCATTCCCATTGGCCATTGGAAATTATGACAAATATGTACCTAAATAAATAGAAAAAGGAAACTGCCGAGGGTAGGAATATATTGTGTACTTTATTTTATTTTATACTTATAAATCAGTGACGAACTGACGTAGATAGAAATTAAATATTTTATCAATAAATGTTTATATATTTCCCAATTACCTAGCAGACATGGCTAACGCCCAAGTTAACAACTCAGTAATTATAAAAATTAACATGGCAATTTGAGAATGTTACAATGTATTGTACACACATAATGCAGATTAACATGCATAACTATGTTAATCCGTCCGTGAGGAAGGTAAACATGAATTAATTGATTAATTAATCGTTCCGCTCAATTCGTACAGAAATTGTAGAAAGGAGAAAATTTTGCTTGGAATCTGAGATACCAATGTCGTGAGAGCGATCACAGACTAGTCACTTGATACTTTTTATTGTGTTAGTTACTGGACGGAGTTTTCCTAATAATTAATCTACATACATTCAAGTTATTAATAGACTTATTAAATGCCTGCTATTGAACAAATCTTGTGTCTATTTTTTTATAAAACGTTGCTTGTGCGTTGTTGAAAAAGGATTTTCTCCTGTGTCGTGGTTGCATTTACAAACATACAAGTTCATATACACATGACACCCAGACCCGGAACGACAATTTGTGGATCACACAAAGTGTTGTTCCGTGCGGTAAACGAACCCGCGACACGTTGCACGGTAGCCGGTTGCCCAGCCACCGTACCGACAGTGCAGTCCATCTGAATCCATAATCTTTGGATTGTTCTTCGGTTTTCACATTACTTAATTATGTTGAGTTTTTGTCGTGAACCTTTCTCGAGTCAGGGGATTTTACTTATTTGTTTATCTAAACTTTATTGCATATACACTGAAATTGGTGGACATAATGCCATGTCGTAGGCATTCTCTGACTACTGTCACAACATTCTTAACATTAACATTGTTCACCGGTATTCAATTGAGAGAGAGAATAAAGTCATAAAGCGGTATTCCATTTATTAATTTCAGTCATTAGAGATTACACGGTAGTGCTACTTGTCGCAGGATTAATATCAATTCATGAATAGGTCAGAATAAACTCAGGTTATATTTTAAAAGTTAATATCCTACAGAGCTTGCGAGAAACTTGCAAATAGATATGTGAAAACAAAAACATGAACATGAAAAATATCACATAAATATTGAATCTGTAAACTACAGCACAGTGTGCAGTGTCCCACACTGGTGTACACAAACAATACGTGGGCACAGTGCACAGTGGTCACAATTCGCACGTCATTACAACTACACTGCGTGTTCCCATCCATTATATCATTATACTAGCTGTTGCCCGCGACTTCGTCCGCGTAGAATAATGTCTTCTGGCAGAATTTAGGCTTTTGAATTAGTTTTTATCAAGGGATATTCTACGGTAATGGATGTCGTCAGAATTGATTCAGTCCCGTAGATGATAGCGTGATAATATGTAGCCTATATGTTTACCAGACTTGTTAGTAATATTCATGCAAAATTTGAAATAGTAGTGCAGTACTTTTTGAGATCATCACGGCCATACATACAGACAAACAGACAAAAATTCTAAAAACCACATTATTGGCTTCGGTATCGATTAGAGATCACGCTTCAAATATTCTTTTAAAAAATATTCAATGTACAGTTTTGACTTTTCTACGATTTATTATATGTGTAGATAGCTGTTGCCCGCGACTTCGTCCGCGTAGATTAATGACTTCTGACAGAATTAACCAGAATCAATTCAGTGCCCAAGTAAGATTTACCTATTTTGAAATGATTTATCGTAGTTTCAATAAATAAATAATCCCGCAGGGATCTTACCAGTACAGTGCCCGATCACGTAAGGTTTGAGTAATAAAAACTATTCTATCGACTATTGTTGTACCGAATCTCTCTAGAATAAGTTCAGTGGTTAAGAGTTAGAGAGTCCTGGGGCATTGACGCATAGTTCCCGTTCTCGTGAGACATCTGTGAAAAAACTATCATACGTTACCCAGGTCCCAAATCATCGTTTTACCGAATGTAATTCAAAAAGATTCAATGATTCTAAATTCAACGGCTAAGAAGATTTATACAAACTCTCATTCCCTATTTTATCCCCTTAGGGGTGGAATTTATCAAAATCCTTTCTAAAGAGATACCTATGTCATAGTAACTTTATGCATGCAAAGTCTCAGCCCGATCAATTTAAAACTGGCAAAGTATCATACTTTGGGGTGAGAATGTTCAAAAACCTTTCTAAAGGGACGTTTACGTCATAATATCCATCTGCACGCCGAATTTCAACCCGATCGGTGTAAAACTGACAAAGCCTCACACAAACGTTCATCCCCTATTTTACCCCCTTGGTGGAAATTATCAAAATCCTTTCAAAGCGGATGCTTACGTCATAACATCTATCTGCATGCCAAATTACAACCCGATCGGTTTAAAACTGACAAAGTCTCATACAAACTTTCATCCCCTTTTTTACCCCCTTGGGGGTGGAAATTATCAAAATCCTTTCTTAGCGAATGCCTACGTCATAACATCTATCTGTATGCCAAATTTTAGCCCAATCTGTCCAGCGGTTTGGGCTGTGCGTTGATAGATCACTATGTCAGTCAGTCAATCAGTCAGTCAGTCAATCACCTTTGAATTTTATATATATAGATTTTCGCGTTTACGCAACTGTAGGAGCTGTTTATAATATTACATGAAGTTAACGCTTTGTTGTGGATTCACGAACTTTGGGCGGTTCAAGTTGTAAGCGGAAGCGGGATGAGATTTTGTTCAAAATATAATTAATTAAAAAAACACATACAGCCGAATTGACAACCTCCTCCTTTTTTGGGAAGTCGGTTAAAAATGTAGGTATCTCTAATGGGAAATATGATAAATAGAGGTGAAAATACTCGGTGTATCTTCTGTAATAATAATAGGTGAAGTATCTTGTGAATCAAGAAACTCTCCTCCTTTTAAGGTTAGGAAACAAGATGAAATATTGATTCCGCTGTATGAATTCGAAAACGTAAATCGACCAAGTTTCAATTAGAGTTGAAACGAAGAACGTTGATCTACATTTCTTGGTACTAAATGAATCTATTCTTAGTTGTTACTTAGAAAGCTAAGATGGGTTAGAAATGTTCGGAAGTTAGCATATTCTAGCCAAATGCTAACTTTTAGTTCTAATAGATTTGGCTTAATAATTTGATTAGTATATACAATCTGGCTGAGACGTAGACCAATAGTTCGACCAAAGAGATATATGTAACTTAAATAAATACCACCTTAGTAAATATGTACTATACCTTTGTTCAGCAAATCAAGTTATTTTGATTTTTTATGGAATATTTTTTAATGGCTAGCGAGCAGACGGATCACCTTATGGTAGGCGATCAGCGCAAAACGACTTTTAAAGCGACAGGCAAGTTAATTCTCTCATGTCCAGATGTATTTAAGTTCAGGGACGACATTAAAAATATATTAATGTTTAGATATTTGACATATTCACTCCCACATAGCTTCCTGTATATGTCTCGTTAGTTGTTTAAAGTTACATTGCGCAATCTAATGCACTGAGGTAAAGGGAGCGCTGTTTATAATAAAACATGACAGGTAACTTAGTGGCCACTAAGTTATAATGCACGACATTACTGTTTATTGTGGACTAAGAGGCAAGTAGCGGCGGCGAGTAAAAATTAAACAGTTGTATTAGTTTGTAAGTAATATAATAGCAGTCAAATCCAAAAGCTGCTGTTGTAGAATTTCTAGTCATATTCGGTGTCTATTCTTAGTCTAATCTCGTGAAATTGTATAAATTGTATATCTGCATTCCTGAATACTATTTGAATTTGAATTTATTTATCATATGAAAATTTTTATTAATGTTCAAATTAATATATTTCAAATCCCACAGTCCTAGTATATTTTTTTTACTACAAATCGCTCAATCTTATAACTTGAACAAAGGGAAGTTATGTGAATTTCATATCAGAAAGAATGGTGGCAGAAAGTGGGCCGTTAGCTTTACATCACTATTATACTTCCTACTGCGGCCATACATTCGTGGTTAGTGGTTGCTTTATAATAGTAATTCGCTACTCTTTCTCTACGTAATGTATTATTAACTGCAACTACGGAGAAAATAATTAAGTAACACTTTAGGGCCTTGATTACAATCATTACGATTGATTGAATTCTGTCCGTAATATCTCTCAGATAATTTCTAAACTCTTTTGTCAATTTTATGTAAGAGGTGGCTAAGAAAACCAGATATAAGAAGGCTGAAGAGTTTTACGATCTTGGAGGTCATTGGAGTAAGTATGTATTAATTTAATGAAACACATTTATGACATAGCTTTTGAGATTCATTGCTCGCATACGATCTTGGGACGGTTAAACAAAGACCTTGAAGTGTTTAGTCACTCCAACACCAAATTACGGCCAAAGTTATCTCAACAACAGCCCTCAAGAATAAAATCAATCGTCCAGAAACCAATTGTGATCAACGGAGAAATTCGCATAAAATCTAGGGCATCGATTTATTTTCGCTATCTGAAGCTTCCTTTTTTAGCTACTAGGGTTGTGTCATCCCCTATCAGTCTTTCTTCGAGGGGTCGAGGGTTGTCATCAACGGGAACGGTTTATAGGCGAAGTGTGCCTCTTGAGCGACGTCGAGTCATCAATTTTCCTTGTGACACTGCTAATCTTGGACCATGATCTCGAAAATGTGGTTTATCGTCACGTCCTCATCTTTGTAGTGGGTCGTTAGAGGATGGAGTTGTTCCTTGCTAGTCTCTCGTCATATTCGTAGAAATGTTTGTACTGGTGTTCATTGCTTGTATAGTTATAATAAAAATAAGAACTTGCTTGCTTAACAAAGTTTGCTTGATGAACAGGCAGAAAACCCGTTAAAACACACTTTACTTACCTACTACGATAGACTTTTTTTTTTGGCTTCTTTGCCCTACGTTAGACTTAGGATACACATTGAAACAATAGCTGACATTTGACCAAGTAAATAAGTCAATACAATAGTAATCTTTGGCCTCAGCGTCAGTGGTTTGAACTCGTTTGACATTCACCTGAGATATTGTAATCGATACGTCCTATATCGATATCTCAGATTTATGTCCAGTCAAGTGTCGGGGTGACGAACCGACGATATTACATTTGGTTACTTATTATTCTAGGTATTTATTCTAGCTAGTAATAAGTCACAAGTTTCCAGTCTGATTCCAATGATCTAGATTATATAATCCTTGGTCCAGTTAAATGGAAGTATTTGTTTACTTTATAGCTACTTTATAAATACTTGTAGAATTGTAAAGGAAAGTAGGAGAGGCCTTTGTTCAGGGCTGCACGTGTGTGAGTTTTATTCTTCGGGACTTCTTCGACAGTCATATAAAGTCATATTCATGCAAAACAAATATAAATAAATACTTGCAATGAATGTGAATCGTGCGATGTCAAACAAACGTTATAGGTGTTCGTGAGATAGTTCTCCGGGGACGTGTAAACACAAAATGTGATACTCACGATCGTGAATATTCGATACATCGACAATGTTATATTTTGAATGTGTGAAGATATGTCATTTTCCTAAATTAACTACTTGGAAGTTATTTTAGCGGCTCATGCACGGAGGGGAAGAACGTGGGAAGAACTGATAAAGGTGGCGGCCCTTGATAGAAGATTCCCATCTACACTGCCATTCAGGTAGAAGTTCACCAAAGACGAACTTTTTTAATTTAACCATTTATTCAAAATCAAGTTCTTGAGCCTTAGCCATCATAATTGTTCTAGGTTGAAGCTCACCCTGTCCCTGGAGTCGATGTGCACCTTCCCTGTGTCGAGCAGCTGCCGCAACCGGTCGCAGTCTCCTCTGAGCGCTGCGAGGTGGAACTGCACATCCGTGCGGGACTCTTTCTGTGGAAAACAATATATCTAATATTAGTTTACTTATTCAGTAAACATTTATATTCTACGCTACGTGAGTTTTGCTATTAGAAATTCTCTTGTTTAGGATATTTATAGTATTGGAAGCACGATTCGTTAGAAAGAATTTCAAAAAAACTTCATTTAAACCAAGGTGGTGAAATCGAACGCCTTTTTAACACTAAATTCATCAACTAAAACCTTGTAAGATAGCACAGAAAGAAAGGGAAGATCCCTTCTTCCCTGCAAAAGCAGAAAATATCAATTTATTCATAATATTAAATGCAACGTTATCTAAACAGCCAGCATCACAATTAACAAACATTAAACCGACATCACATGTTAATATTGTTATCAGTGTTCAAAAATAATTGGCAAACACAGTTTTATCTGACTGCAGCACAGATTATATACACAATTGCACAGATAATACAAGCTGGTGGCGTGACAGAGATCGCGTGCTCGTCACGGTACAATAAAATTGTTGGTACTATAACTGTTATGTGACAACTAATTACTTATGTGATTTATGGCCACTATTCATGAGGAAATAGGATGAAGTCTTTCTTTTACTTAACTAAGCTCAATACGGCTTACTTGAGACAGTAACTATGAATGCTAATAATGTTCATTTTTAGGGTTTAAGGAGAGGGTAATTTTTATAGAGTATCCCAATCCCTAAAAATATTAATCTAATAACCTTAGTTGCGAAAATTGAGCCCTTTGGGGAATGCAGAAGTCTTATTATTTATTTTTATTTTTAAGCTTATTTCCGCACAAACTTTCGCATTTATAATTTATGATTTAAATGAGTAAAATATTCGTTTTCGTGTGCAAATATGCACGTCCTCCTTCCATACTAAGTCATCCGCATTCTTTTAATTATTTATAATTCATTTAGATGAGTCATTTTAATGAGCCTTGAATTTATTAACCTTCTGCGAGAGCAAAATGTACATAATTGAAATTATTTTATTTTTATCTCTATTATTAAATTAAATCCTTGAATATATTTACACAACAATTCATCCTAACTGTGTGAGTAGATAAGTATTTGCAATTAATTTTAATGAAGTAGGTATAGGTACCTAACAGCATTCATTGTTATTATTACGCAGCCTTTCGTATATATTATTTATTAAAGGCTGCGTTATGAAGTGCTGTTTTATTCAGGTTTTCCTAGTGTTGTGGAGAAGTTTTATGCTCGATTGTAGGTTACTGCAATGCAAAATGTATATTCCTACTAGTAATAATAGGACTGCTTTTCATAATTTTCTAATTCTATGGGACTTGGTTATTCTTCCGTCAAAATTGAGAGTACGGAGTTGGGAGTATCGTATGTGCGTCTAATAAAAAGAAAACTACAAATAAAAAAAATAAAACTAATTCAGATCGAAATAAAATCTACGACAAAAATCAAGATTCACAAGCAACGGTTGATTTGGTTGAGAACAAACAACTTGTAGGATATAATGTGGGTGGGTGACATTATGTATGAATGTCAAATAACGGTGGAATCTGACAAATAAGGACGTTTACATAGTCTGCTATAATATACATACATATTAATGTGTGTATGTCTGTTGATACTACTTGACTTTCAACGCGACATTTGTATTTATTTAGACTTGTTTTTGTTTTCTTTGATACAGATTTATCGGTCCGTGATATGTTTTTCTTATTTTGTAGGGAAATATAAATGTGTAGTTCAGTGATATGTTTGTGTTTATACCAATCTTGGCCATTCTGTACAACATTGTGTACAATTTGGGACTATGGTTTTAAAAGGAATTTGTAAACCTAACTATAATTTGTTAAACTTAGTACTTTTTTTAAGGGGGAAATCATCGAATGACTGCTCCTGCCTGGGTGAGGCGGGAGGGAGTGTCAGACTCTTACTGACTAAAAACTTGGTACATTAATTAGGGCGCTTATTACCACCCTATTCTACAAATCATGTCACACATTGAATGAAAAAACATGTTTAGGAAGCTCAAAATAATCGATGAGTAATGAAAAATACAACGAACTCAAAATTTCATAATCAATGCCTCAACTGTTTTCCCAGTCACTATATCCGGCACACACATTCATAAACAATTAACACTGGGATTTGACTGGGAGCTAAAGCTAAGCCATAGTACACGCAAGACTGTGTCCAAGAGATAGCCAATGAATTCGTGCATAAACATTCAAAATAACCATCATAATATTTCGAAGGTTTAGGATTTAGAACCAATTGAATGAAAAAATATGGTTTGGAACTTTAAAAAGTAAAATAAATACGAATAATGTATCAAACTATCTAAAACCTATTCAAAATTTCAAAATCAACCCTCAAAATATTTTCAGACACATCGGTAAGCAAGTTATATTGCCGGTAGCTCTAGTAATGCGATCTTGTGGCGACGACGCGAGGTTGTTCCCTCCCCTGAATATTAGATGACTGAATGCTCTCTGATTACTGTGCACCGTCCATATTAGAGGGGATCCCTTTATTATTTATCCTCACGGCGTGATAGGGGTTGAAGAAGGGAAAAGTAATTCTTAAGATTGCGCAGGGAAAGGGAAGTGAGGTGATGAAATAGTTCTGTAGGGTGTGAAGTAGCAAAAATGCTATTACTAATCGAAAACTTAAGGATTATTAAATATATCGCCGTACTCACAGTCATTTAATAGTTGTTTTGGGGAAAAAGTAGTTATTAAGGAATAGGACTGCCTCGTTGGCCGAGTGGTCGCAAGTGCGACTGCCGGGCAAGGGGTCTCGAGTTCGATTCCCGAGTTGGGCAAGGAATTGTGCCCGGTATATGGCAATAGGCTCACCCCCTATTACATGGGACTCATAACGTAAATAGTGAAAAGTGGGTGTTACATTGTACATTGGCATAATGTACACCTCTGCCTACCCCTTCGGTGATAAAAGGCGCGATGTTATGATGCGTCTTGAAAATGGTTATAGAACAGCAGAAGGGAAACCTGAGCACATTTTTTCAGAAATACATTTCCAATTCAGGAATCACTTTTATCGTAACATTATCCATTATTCGTAAGAGCGAATTCATGTTTTATTGATAACACTGAGTCGAAAGCTTCGGCCACTTGATTAAGTGCGTGATCCAATCGATCACGATTATTTTCGGCTATTGTTTGCTTATGTAACCGGTCGAGTGCATTACGGTAAGTTTACATTAGACAACACAGATTGATGAGATCCAAGACATGTTTAAAAGTAATAAAGAAGAAAGAAAGATTGTCGAGAAACAATTTAGAGAAAATTTAGTAGAGGTAGTTGAAGGCTAACAGAATGCAAATAGAAATAAGCAGACTACAAAGAATATTTTATCTAATGGTCTGAAATACGTTTGCTCTCGACTTTAGTCTTATGCTAGGTCCGGGGCAAAAGATAATGTCGACGATGAAATTAAGAGTCTTGCTCATTATAACTTGGATGCCGGTAAAGATGATAGGGAAATATTGAAAGCCGCCTCACCAGGGGCATAAACATTAAATGCAGAACATAAAGATCTATATAAACCACCGATAGAATTCAACGAACTTATATATTAACGCCTTATTTTCGTCCATGTCGCAAGAACAGAATTGGGTTACATTACAGATGCGAACGTAGGCAAGGCGAGCAAGCTTATTACAATTTGTGCACTATTATTACTATGTTTACCTTCATAACTAGAATTGCAAATGGTTGATCGTGACTAGTCTCGACTCGTGCAATGAGTTTCTTCTTTTGTAGATGAGAGTGCACAGATAGATGGAGGGCTAAGGTCATTAGTAGGAATAGTAAGGTAATTACATTCCGCAGTATAGATGATTAGGCTTTCTTGGCTGCTTTGTTAACTTCAGTATGACTTTTGCCATTCAGATCTGGTTCTAGATGCTGATGATATTGTTGCATTGTGCGAATCTGTGTAAGTACACCATTCATTCATCTGTTCCAAAATTCGTCAAACTCGGCTGAGTGTTTTAGGAGCAACAGTGTAAGAAATATACGAATACTGCAAATTCTGTGACGGATAACACTCGCAGAAACATTTTGTTTAACTTTGTTGTTTGTTACTGATTGAGTCCAATTTTTCACTTGTGCAAATATAATATTCCTAACAATACTGTGTTTTGAGAACAATGGAAATATAATTTACTGTGTTGTATTGCATATACGTGTACTACATGTAATTTACGGCACTCGTCATAAATTATAGACACCGAGTGAAGAGAATCAAGTACAAAAAATTCTTGGTTTTGTGGTAAAACATGTCTACCGTATTAATAACGCGTTGCATTTTCATTGCGGGTGTGAGTTTAATGGTCAGTTTTCACATTGTAACCACAGATTTATCGAAAGTACACTTAGATTGAACTGGCATTTACCACCATAGTTTAATGAGGAAAATCTAAATCTAAGTTTAAAGAAAATGGGAGCCAAATTATATAAGTTCGGTCTTATTTTCTTAAAGACGTAGGAATACTTTACGAAGAGCCTTTAATTACTTCATATAGATTAATAATAATAGGTATACGTGGTCCCAGTGGTAACCTGTTCAATATTTATACAGAAGCTAATCGGTTTACGGCCAGAAGAAAATGGCGATTATAAAAACTAGGTCTACATGCGACAAGCTACCAATCATGTAGATGGAGTTTCCTATACATTTAGGGATGTCACATCGTCATATGTTACTTCTTGGGCTTTTGTGAAACAGTATCGACACACTTTGTTCTCTTTAGAATAATAGCGTATCTGGCTCAAATAGCCGTTAATGCTTATGGAATAATGGTTGCTAAAAAATCGCAAAGCCTTACTAAAATAGCATATGGTTGTTTTATTCCAACAAAGACAATTAGAAGACGTTGTGGACTTTTATTATGTCTTCATTTTAGTTTTTTGTTACTCTTTCTTGTCACTTCTCACCATCACAGTACAGCCCTGACACTGCTCGAATCGGTCAGTTTCCACAGCGACCACACATAGCTTA